ATATATATATATATATATATATATATATAAATAAATATAAACTAATTGAACATATTATTACAATGAAATAGTTTGCTAAGAAAGATGAACATTTAACTAATGAAACAAAAACAATATGATCTCATTAATTGTTTTTTATGCACCAAACTAATAAAAGTTGAAATTTTTTTTATTATATCAAATATTTAAATTATTTAAAAATACTGTATTATTGAAAAGATTGTGAAAAAAATCAGTTTGCATAAAAATATGTATAAATAAATATAAAGTAATCGTGTCTTATTGTTATTCTAACCGAACATTTTAATACATTTAAAGAATAAGCTACAAAATATGACACATAATTAATTAAAATGTTTGATGTCATTGATAATTTTTTTATGAATTAAACTGATAACAAGTGACAGTAAAGATTTTTATTAGAAGAAAATACAAACTTTTTAAAATACTGTACTATTCATGCAAGAATTGTGGTAAATATCATAGTTTGCATAAAATCTTATCTTAAGTCTTATTTGTAAAGATTTATACAAAAGATAACATCTAATTAATAACAAAAATAACCCTTTATAACACTTGATGTCACTAATGCACTGTAAAACTGGTTAACTCAGAATTGACTGGTTAATACTCATTTGAAAAGAGTTTTGAACTCTGTTTAAGATGATGAGTTAAATAAATACCTCGTTACTTCAACTTAAATTAAGCAAGTTCACAGTACTCCTATAGATTAGTTTTTTAACTCAAATGGTTTGTTGCAATCGGTTTCCTCAAATGGTTCGAGTTGACTCGACTTATTGGGTTTTACAGTGCTCAGTTGATTTGAGTTCTCTTCGTTTATTGGGTTTTACTGTGCTCAAATTGCTTCATTTACTCAAATGGATTAAGTTCACGGAACTCATCTGGATTAGTCTTTGAACTTAAATGGTTTGTTGCAATCGGTTTTCTCAAATGGTTTGAGTTTCCTTAACTTTTAGGGTTGTACAGTTTAGTTATTTATAAAATAAATGATCAAAGGGATAGTAAATATTTTATTATTGTATAAAATACTCAAATAATTTTTAACAAATATTCTAAATAATAAACTATTCTTGAAAAGAAAAATCAGTTTGCATAAAAATATAAAATAATAATTGTGTCTTCTTTAAAATCTAACTTAATGTATTAATAACATTTTCAAAATTAATCCTATTAAAAAATAAATAAATAAATAAAAATTTAACTTCAAACTCTCTGGCCAAGTTTTATTGCGTTCATATACCTTGCCTAGCAAATAATCACAACACTGAGAAAACATCCCATTATTATTCACTTTTTTAAGTCACCACTCTTCCCTCCCATTTAAAGCATCTTGCCATCTAATATTAAACCTACACCCATAGGGCTGCAGAAGTTTCTATAAATATTCAAGTCCTCTGCAAAACAAAGGCGATGAATCACAGCTTATGTCTGTAATCTTGATTACATAAACTTGCATCCTCAACCGCTAAGCGCCACACAAGGCCGCTGGTGATTTGAAGCGTTTTGGCCAAGTTGTCAGCGCCAGTCTGGCCAAGAACTAATTAATCCTAATGCTAGAGTTTGAGTGACTCATAACGCACACCAGCGGCGTGTCTGAGCAGACTCATTGATTAACAATAAAGTGTGCTCTCGTTCACTCGTATTGTTAAACCAGGTGAAGAGGCGGCAGTCAATCGCCTCTGATTAGTTAATGCGCAGTAATCACACATCAAATTAAAGCTGAAGTGTGTAAATTTGGCCTCACTGGCGTCACATATAACGAAGCCCACAAATTAGTGATTGTTTTCAAATAAACTCCTGGCGTCCGTCATTGCCTAGAAATCAAATAAAGTAATTATCGGTTTTAACTGCAAAACTCATGCAAAAATCACTCTGAAATAATTACAGAAAATTTTCCACTCAAATTGCTTTATTTCAATCATTAGCGTTTTTGACTTAATGTACCTTTGAAATGTTTCCATTGAACATTGACTGGGTTTCTGCAGATTTTCAAATTTAAGACTTTTAAAGGGCACCTATGATGAAAATCATCTTTCGTAAGCTGTTTGGACAGAACTGTGTGCAGGTATAGTGTGTCCACAGTCATGATGGAGTGATAGACACACTATAAGTCTCTTTTTTAAATGTCCTAGCATTAAAATAGGATCCAAATCCCTGCAATTCTGAGGCCCACCGCAACGTGACGTAGGAGTTTGTGGTTTTAAAATAAACCAATCAGAGTCTCATCTCCCATTCCCTTTAAGAGTCAGTTGCGTCGCGCCGTAGCACATTTGCTATTTACATGACGAACTTTGTAAGTGGAAAAACGAACCCTTCATTAGCGAGAAAACAGTTAAACAGCATGAGAATGAGCCTCGTTCCATACTTTTACTTTCACTCTCGTGGATAGGGAAACGTGTTGTATGCACAGACATCCATTAGCATTCATAACTAATTTAGTTTCTTAAGCGCAAAGATTTGTTACAAATCTATTTCTAAATTCAGTTCTAATTTCCAGCAAACAAATAAATGAACAATAATAACCAAGTGTGCTCAAACAGTTATTTCCAAATACACATGCTATGCCCCATATGGTCCAAAGCCTGACAGGTGGGCAAGTCTAAGCTTGTTTTTAATAAAACAAATATAAATATGCATATAATAAATAATACTGTTAATAATAATAATAATAATAATAATAATATACAAAAGCAAATTGTTATGAATAAATTTTAAAAACCCACTGAGATAAAGAAGGCATGAAAGTAGTGAAAGTAGCATGGTTTTTATATTTAAGTAGACTAGAAAATAATAATTTTTATACTATTTTAATCCTTTAATTATTTTTCATTTGTAAATATATTTGTGTATTGTTGTATATCTTGTGTGTATTGAGCAATGTGTCAGCGAGGGGCACAAACAACGTGCTCTGCATTGGACTATAGACCTGCTTTAATCAGGTATATTGAACAGACTATTTTAGTTCCTTAAAATAGCAACGCGCCAGCAATGCGCCTTACTGCGCCACCTTTTTTAGACCAGAACGCCTATGGGCGCACATATGAGCGCAAATGCATTTGTTATATGAGAGCAAACAACATTTGCGTCGTGCGTCGTGCCTTGTGGGTTCATGATAGGGCCCTTTATATCAAGTCACAATTCACGCTGTTGACAAGTCATTAACTACGACTTTTACCTCAATAAACTACTAATTAGCAGCTTATTGGTTGTAAATGCAAAACTAGAATGAGAAATCATTGAATACTTGGTCACTGGTTCGAGGCTCGGCTGGGTCAGTTGGCGTTTGTGTGGAGTTTGCATGTTCTCTCCACGTTCATGTGGGTTTTCTCCAGGTGCTCCGGTTTCCCCCACAGTCCAAAGAAATGCGGTACAGGTGAATTGGGTAAACTGTACCCAATGTACATCTGTAGTGTATAAGTGTGTATAGATGTTTCCCTGAGATGGGTTGCAGCTGAAAGGGCATCCACTGCGTAAAACATTTGCTGGACAAGTTGGCGGTTCATTACGCTGTGGCGACCCCAGATTAATAAAGGGAATAAGCCAAAAAGAAAACGAATGAATGAATTAATTAATCATACAGGGCTAAACAGAAATAACATTAACTTAATAGTTAGTAAGGTTGAAGTTATGTTTTGGATGGGATTAGGGATGTAGAATAAGATCATTCTTTATAAGTACTAGTAAACAGTTAAAATCTTAATAATAGGGATGAGCCAGTACATAATAGCATGAACTCTGACTTAAACTACACCAAAGAACATTTTGGCTGTTTGTTCAAACTACTTATTAAAAATGAGCTGAATAGATAAAATTCTTGTAATTTTTTGGGCACAACTTAATTATTTTATGTTCAATCCACTTTTAAATAAACTTAATTTGTGTTGGCACAATATAAAGGAATTTATCTGAAGCCCAGCATTTACCAGTGTAAAGCGTTACCAAATTAAGAGAAAAATATCAGCTCTGACATTCTCATGTTACTATCATTATACCACTAAAGTCAACCAAGCTCCTTTCTGCCGAATTTGTGTTCATGACCTACGGATACAAAACTTGAAGAGCTGATTGAGAACCATAGTCAGCATCTCTTAGGATAGGGAATCTTTTTTGTGTGATATATTGTTACAAAAATTATTGCGATAAGCGTTATTATTGTCATTTTGAGATCATTTTACACCACTAATTATATAATGATCATATAACATCATAATAATGCAAATAGCCATGGACACTTAAATATTTAGCACTTTTAAGGCTATTTAGATTTTATAATTTGATGTTAAAAAGTTAAATGTCCTATTATATACAGTATATAATATTAAATGTCCTATTAGGTAAATGTCCAATTATAAACCTGTGAGGTAAAATGTAAACATCATTGTAAAATGGCTTAAATGTTATTCGTGAACTTGTAATTATATATTGAAACGGCAAAAATGATTGCAGTCATGTCCAAGTATTGCACAATAAGTTGATATATTGATTATTGTGACAGGCCTAGACTTATCCAAAGACTTCAGTAGGACAACTCTGTAAAACATTGGACTTAAAGCTGCTTTGTGCTGCCATCTTCTGGCAAAAGGGTGTAATTACAGCAATGAATTAATGAATGAATGCAATTTTTTATTTGAGGTAGGAATATTATTTTCATAATAACATTTTAGATGAAAATATAATGAATTCCTGATTCATTACGAGTTAAAATTACAAGCAAACCAACATCCTGAAATAGACCTTCCCCCTTAATCTATGTAAAACCCACAGTGACAAAGTTCAAGCAAACAACTAAACAAACTGCTGCTTAGGGAGGTTTCTGTTGTTTATGTGGCTGATTAATTATTCAGGCTCAAAAATAACCGTGCTGTGTAGAAGTGATAGTGTAAACAGGAAAGGTAAACATTTAGTCAGTAGCGTCTGAGATAGAGTTGACCTGAAGAGAACTGGAAACATCAACTACATGGGTGGGAAAAAGCACTTACCAGCAGTTATAATCTGTACCTTCCATGGGTGTTTGGCCATCAGAGCCTGATAAGATCTCCAAAGACCCGCCATGAGACAAAGTCTAAAAAAAGAAAACAGTGAACAGCTCAAATTACTGCAATGAAAACTGCTGCAGAAATAGACAAAGATCAGAAGTGATAGTTTTAGTGTGCAGTTTGCTAGAATAATATTGATGCCACATTATGACAAACGGTTATTAGAGAAAAAATATATACATAAATCCAATATCCATTCCAAAATATGCATTATAATGTATGTTATTTTATCAGTGGGCTTGTTCTCTTTGGAGGACAAAACCTGCAAAAGTAATAAATAAATATGCAAATATATAAATAAATGAGTGAATAAACTCATAAATTCCTGCATAAATAAAACAATAAATAAATATGCAAATATATAAATAAATGAGTGAATAAACCCATAAATTCCTGCATAAATAAAACAATAAATAAATATGCAAATATATAAATAAATGAGTGAATAAATCCAGAAATTCCTGCATAAATAAAACAATAAATAAATAAATATGCAAATATATAAATAAATTAGTGAATAAATCCAGAAATTCCTGCACAAATAAAACAATAAATAAATAAATATGAACAAATATAAATATGTTTACTCATTTATTTATATATTTGCAGTTTTTTATTTATTGTTTTTGCAGGTTTCGTCCTCTATAGTTCTCTAGGGGGGAACATGTTTTCTGAAGTTATATATGCATTTTACATTTTTGTAGATTGTAAATGTTTTTTGTGACATTTTTACAGCGTTTATAACAATTTTATTACATTAATAACGTGCTTTTGGTGTCGTTTTTCATAGGCTGATGATTTCTCCCAGGTTAAAACCATTTAGGCACATAAATAAGAGATTGAGCATGATGATGTACATTTTACAGTTGCAATCAACAATTATTAGCCCCCCCATCAATTTTTTTTCTTTTCTAAATATTTGCCAAATGATGTTTAACAGAGCAAGGACATTTTCACATTATGTCTGATCATATTTTTTCTTCTGGAGAAAGTCTTATTTGTTTTATTTCGGCTAGAATGAAAGAAGTTTTACATTTTTTAAAAACATTTTAAGGTCAAAAATATTAGCTCCTTTAAGCTATATATTTTTTCGATAGTCTACAGAACAAACATTATTATACAATAACTAGCCAAATTACCCTATCCTGCCTAGTTAACCTGGTTAAGCCTTTAAATGTCACTTTAAGCTGTATAGAAGTGTCTTGAAAAATATCTAGTCAAATATTATTTACTGTCATCATGGCAAAGACAAAATAAATCAGTTATTAGAAATTAGTTATTAAAACTATTATGTTTAGCAATGTGTTGAAAAAATCTTCTCTTCATTTAACAGAAATTGGGGGAAAAAAATAAACAGGTGGGCTAATAATTCTGACTTCAACTGTATACTTGTCATGTTGAACGTTACATTAAAGTGGAGAAAATTAATTTGTGTAGTTTTGCCAAACACTGAGGCAGAAAATGTGATCTGAAGTGTCACACATCATGTTAAATACATTAATAAATGAATTAATAAAATAACTACAAATTATCACATTTTAATTTTAAAATACTTCTTAAACAATAAATATAAATGTGTGAATGTGTTTTTTCTGTTAAATTCACAAAAATACAAACTTGATAAACAATATAATTTACTACAAAATAAATAAATGAGTGAAAAACTAAATAAATATAGCACTGTAAATATTATGAAATAAAATAATGCATAAAAACAATATTAAACTATTTTCCCCCCAAATAACATCTATTACGTTTTATGTGCAGTTTACATAGATAGGATTTCTTATTTAATTAGTGCAAAACAACTAAAAACAGAGCAATACAAAGTAGATGAAATGAAATAAAGCGATAAAGTTACAAGGTTAATAAACAATTACAATCACAGCATACAAAAGTGTAATTAATATTCTCTTTTTTTAACATTCATTGTTTAACAGAAAGATGTTTTGAGTGCTTTCTTAAGTGAATCCTGGAATTGTAAGTAAGTCATTTTTAATTCAGAAAAAACAAAACAAAAAGCGCTCTGGGGTAAGTTCAAATGTATGGTCGGTGCTCTTTGGGTAAGGGATTCATCAAATCTGCAACAAGAATCAGTCCAAGGCACTCGAGTAAAGTGAAAAAATTAAAAAGCCTTTATTCACATGGCTAGATCTCTAAAAACCAACGCGTTTCGGCAGAAGTCTGCCTTCATCAGGGTAACATCAGGGTAATAAAGTCATTTTTAATCTCTTGTATAAATGCTATAATTATTTGGCTTAATTCAATATTCTCCGTGAAAGTTAGTGCTCCTCAAAGTCATTTAATAGCGCGCTCACGCTGATCAAAGGCGCGTGCAGTGCGCGTGGCCGCCGCACCATACATATTCAATCTTAAAAATAAAACAAATATTTTATTTTAAAGAACTGGATAAGAGTAATTCGGTTTCCTACTATATTCAAATTCAACACCAACAACGTGTCATTCATTGCATATATTTATTTTTCCATATTAACGGTAAATACAACTTCTTGTCTTCTCCAGAGTGCACACTATAATTAAGCATTAACGCTGCTTTAATGTACAACTCGCGCACAGTTAGTTTCATCTCGTGACCCAAGTTCGACTTACTAAAGAAGTTAAAAGAAATGTATTCTCACCTTTTCACTTAAAGAGATGTGAAACAATGTATTAAAGAAATGTTGGAGTTGCTGAAATTATAGCAGGTTGACTCCTGTTTTCAAACACAGCAGTCAAAAGAAAAAAGAAAAGAGAGAACTTCATAAAATGTGACTTTAAACACTGAACTCATTCAGCCTAGTCCATGTTGACCCGATTCAACTCATTTTACACAAGTCAACATAAGGTGATGCTCGACTGCGTTGTGTGAAGCAAGACAACGCTTACTATTTCAAAATAAAAGTCATTATCGTTAGCGGAAACCCCAGACAAGAAGTTAGTTGATATTATTAAAAATAGTTAATATAATAAAAATTATTTAAATTATTTTTTAAAATAATTATTTTTAAGCATCACAAAGAATATGTCTAATCGATTAACTTATGTCGACTAGCATCGAGTAACTGAATTTTATTTTGAAAAATACAGGGAACACCACACAAAACCAGTGTTTAAAGTAGGGATGCCCAAACTTTTTCTTATGTAACGTTAGGGCCAAAAAGCTGTGGGCCCAAGGTAAATATACCATGGGTAAGCAATCACATTTTAAAATAACTTAAAATACTGCTTTATATTAACTAATGTACATTTTAACCAAAATTATAATGAATTTATAACATTAAAAAACAATCCCATTTATAACAGAATGGAGTTCAATACCGATTACACGAGTCAAGCTCTATCCGTTTATGCCTTGATTTGATGTCTCGCTGATGTCTTCTATCCCTACCTGTAGAGCGGCAGTATTTACATTTTTAACATCAATCATTTATAACATTTAATTGAAACATTTTAGTTTAGCTCAGCGATTAAACAATCAACAAACGCTGTTATATTAGAAACGCTGTTATATCAAGTATCGCCCCGAACCATCCCATCAGTCTCTTCTCACACTGTACAGGCCAACTTTGGCCTGCGGGCTCTAGTTTGGGCATCTCTGGTTTAAAGTATAACTTTCAATAATCATATCGTTGACCAGTTATTAAAGAGAAAAGTAAATGTAGTTTTAGTTAGGCACAAGATAGTTTATTAAGCTTTTAATAGACACAAAATGTTTATAAGTGGAATGGCTTGCAGCTCTGGAGGTCAGTTTGAAGCTTTTGAACGGATAAACCATGAGAATCACTCATACAAAACTATTTATTGTACACATTTTTCGAGAGCTAAATAAAGAAACATCTTTTTTTCCCCTTGCAAAATGTAATGAAATCTGACAGTGCTTTATTTAAAATACCACATAACCAAACTATAAAATTACTGTCAAACTATAAATCAACTATAAAATCACTATAAAAGACATGCAGTGTAAAGTATAAGTTTAAATATTCAAATCTTAGACATTATTGAAGAGAAAAAGCAACAGTTTTAGTTAAGCACAAGATATTTTATTGCGCTTTCAATAGAGACACAAAATGTTCATACTGTAAGTGGAATGGCTTGCAGCTCTGGAGGTCAGTTTGAAGCTTGTAAACGGATAAACCATGAGAATCCCACACACACACACACACACCATTTACTACACATTTTTCGATAGATATACCGAGAAGAAAGGTATTTTAAATGGCAAAAGGTCGTGAAATCTGAATCCTTAACTGAGATTTGACTGTGCCTTATTTAAAATCAGCCATAACCAAACTATAAAATGACTGTACACAAAACAAAAACAGGTCAGTTAAAATAGAAAAGCACAAACTACAATAAGACATATTACACTAAGAGTCCTGAGACAAAGATGTACATTTCCGAGTTACATTTTGACAAGTGGGACCAAACAGACAAATCAATTTTCTATTAAATAACGTGCAACACTCCTCTCTAGGTGGAAGCTGTGATCAACTTCTATTGTTTGATCATGTAAACTTAAGTGTATCACAGATTGTTTTATGCATATGATTACTGTCACTATCGAAAGCAATGGCTGATTCAATCTCTCTTTTGATTTAAGACCTTCACAAAGTTTCTTGTAATTATTTCTCAAATTTTCTCATAGCTGATCAATGCCACTTAATCAGTCATGACAAGTAAAGCAGTGAAAAAAATAAATAAACACTATACACTCTTTAAAATTCAAGTATTTAACAGAAAATGGTTGCAATTCAAATTTTAAACCTAGTTTGGGTTCTCTCTGTGGCACTGTAGTGCTAAATGATAAGCAAATAATAATCCTTTGGACTAATTTTTTCATTAATTTCCCACATTTTTTATATACAACAAAAAATAATAATAATAGAAAAGACATTTAACATCCACTTCAGCCTTCAAGACATGAATGAATTAGAAAAAGAAAACAATATTGTTCACAATCAGAGCTACAGTAATGCAGTAAAGCAACAATATCTTCAAATTTTACAAAGATTCTATATTGTAACATGTATGCAAATTATTAGCAATGCTTTAATAAAGGCAGATGAAACTTGAGCTAGAGGTAAATGTTTCCTCATTTCGGATAATTTGCTCAAAAACACACTTCAAATGCACATGTACGCCATACAAGATGACATGAAGTCATCTCACATTCACAAGCAATTATTTATATACCGTGATTTGCACAGTATAAAACTGTATAGTCATACTATAAAACAGTTTCACCATTTCAAGCACACCAATAAAGAAACTAGTGAAATAAGTCCGCTCATTTCCCATTTCAAATGAAAAATGTTCAAATTGTAGCGTCACTAATGGTCAAATAATATTCAAAATCAGGATCTGTTGATGTTTTGGCCTGCATTGAATGTGTGTAGCAAATCAAACCAGCAGCAAGAGGCGGCTAAGGCTTATGTTTAAATAGAGCAATCAAGAGATTAAGTGCTTAAAAGTTCCCTTCTCCATTGCATGCGGATACAGTCGCTCACGTATAACCTCAGTAGTCCATTCCCTCATCGCTTTCATAGCAGTCTGAAGGAGCATCGGTCCCAAAGTAACGGTCCCCAAAATTACCTGCAACACAGTGGATGTTGATTACGAGGTGCTGAATGCGTAATGTTTTGTTTGTGGGTGATGATAGAGCTCTTCTTACCTATTCCTGGAATGATGTGAAACTCATCGTTGACCTTCTTGTCGACGGCGGTGGTGATGATGCGCACTTTGGGAAAAGCGTAGGCCACTGAATGAACCCCCATCTCCGCCATGAGCAGAGACAGCAGGAAGATTTTGTCCTCCTGGACATCGTGATCCTGGAACAAATTAGTTGGTAAAACAATAGAAACATCTACATATATTGGTAAAATAATAATTATTATTATTATACATAACATAGAGGCCCAAATAGAAAAGACATTTACTAAATTAAAATGTTATATTGGAATTCAATAGATTCATATCTATCTATCTATCTATCTATCTATCTATCTATCTATCTATCTATCTATCTATCTATCTATCTATCTATCTATCTATCTATCTATCTATCTATCTCAGGGATGTTCAGACTTTGTCCTGGAGAGCCGGTGTCCTGCAAAGTTTAGTTCCAATCCCAAGCAGACACACCTGGGCTAGCTAATCAAGCTCTTACTAGGCATTCTAGAAACATCCTTGCAGGTGTGTTGAAGCAAGTTGGAGCTAAAATCTGTAGGACGGAGTCCCTCCAGGACCAAGTTTGGACACCCCTGATCTAGATCCTTTAAATGAATCTTGTAGCAATTACATTGTTATGCCAGTAGGTGAGGAAAGGACCTACTGAAAAAAATTTAATTAGTTACGGTATTTATTAACATGAAGATGTAACATGTATTTATTCGTCTTTGGTAATGTTAAAGGTGCTGTATGTAAGTTTGACACCCAGTGGTTGAACTAGGTATTGCACTCCTGGATTTATATAATTTGCTAATTGATAACCTCATGTGGACCTCTGAATCTGCGTCTCATTTCAGAGTCTGCTACTGTCCACCTGAGGTTACATTTCTGTCACGATCGGGGTGCTGAATCATGATTGGCTAAACTGGCATTTTGCAGATTAAAATGACCAAAACAAAGACAGCGTTCCTGCACAGAAAACACATTTTAAAGCAGAATATCTGACTTCAGGGTTCCGTTCTTCGTACCTCGCTTAAATGATCTAAGATGATTTGGCAGATCCTGGATCTTTTAATCTTGATAACTGATCTCTCGCTAATTTGGTTCTTCAAACAAGTTCGCAAATCAGATTAGAATGTCTAGATGAACTGATCTGAGATCGCTGCGTGTGTTGTGAAGGACAGATCTATCGATCCTCGAAATCATGATCATCAGTGCAAAGATTGGCTGACGGCACAGCAGCGTGATGACATCATCTGATTAATATTCAATTATCCATGTGAGCAAAATTACATCAAATTAGCAGTAAACGGCTTGTTAAATATGATACCCAATAACCTTCCACATTTGTTGTGAGCTGCAGGCTTTACTCTTTCATGTGTCAAGTGTATTCATCATGTATTTCAATGCATATCAGTGTATTTAGTTCTACATTTAGAAAAGATTTTCTTTTTTATAATAGCCGTTTTTTTAATCGCTGTATGGAATAACGATGTTTTCAAAAGCATTTTGATATTGGTAAAGGCGTCTGCAACTTTTGTTAAGCATAATCACTGGCATATTAACTGTCAAAACATGTTTATGACTGCATTAATGTATAATTATTTTCTTTTTAAAAGTCACACATTGTGCATTTCTATTATACACAAATTGTACTAAAGCGATCTAAAAAGTTCATATGTTTTCTCTTTGCACCAGCAGGTGGCAGTCTTTGTACTTTCATTTCGAGAGTGCAGATTGCATAAGTTTTATTAATATGTATAACTTTATTTATTTTATTAATAACTACAACTTTATATATATATATTTAAAATAGTTACTATTTTCCCAAGTGTATATAACTACTATTGTAAGAAAATATCAGAATTCGGTACATACCTTCTCTATTATCTTTGCTTGAACTGAGCCGATCTAATCCTGTTTATATAAACTGAACCTGCTCCCGATCAGGTTTAAGCTAGCAGAACTGTTGCTATGACAACAACTCTCGGATCAGCTTTGAAGAACGAAACGATCCTGGATCGTGTCAAATCGTCAATATCCAAATCCAGCTAACTGAGTAATCCACGTACGAAGAACGGACCCCACCATTGTTTTTCAGATAAACAAGAATGTTGACTTGGCATGTTTCTTAAATATCTGCAAACCTTTTATGGTATTTTTATGCTTTAGAAGAGTCAAAAACTTACATACAGCACCTGTAAAGAAAATAATGTCAGTTCATGTTAACCACAGTGTATTATCTAATGTTAACAAACAATTTTGAGTTTTAATAAATATTGAACCAGGATTCATTAATGCTACACAAACAGTTCATACTCTTATTACTATATAATATTAATTCCTGTAATAAACACTAATGGAAGCTTATGGAAAGTGTGACTAACACGTTGTTTTTGAAGATGAAGAATAAATTGCTAACAACTAATAAAATGTTAATTTAATCAAATCATATATTATAATACTTAAAATATTTTAGCACATAAACCTGTCTAAACTGCTTGGTATATGACCTTTATCTTCGTTTTGTTTTTTGTTCAATTAGTAGTTCACCCCCAAATAGTCATCATTTACTCAGCCTTTCCTTGTTTCAACCCTTCAGAAGTTTCTTCTTTCTGTTGAACACTAAAGAAGATGGGAATTAGGAATTGACATTTCATCCTCTACCTGGGAGGAGGGAAAGTGTCGTATTCATTCTTGCTCTATAAAAGTAAGACTACAGCTCATACAATTTAAAGTGATGCATAGATTGCACTATACAAAAGCCAAACTTAATAAGCTGTATCCTTCTATCTCTCCTCTGTGTGATAAATGCAAAGGCGCAGTGGGCACCTATGGTCATGTATTTGTTCCTGTCCAGAAGTATCTGAATTTTGGAAAAGTATCTTCGGACTTTACTACTAGGCTTTTGAAATGGACTTAAAAATCGATACTGAAATAGCATTGTTTGGATGGTCAGACCAGGCTCTAACTTGGCCTAAACATCAACAACTCTCCCTTAAGTTTGGTATTGTGTTGGCCAAGAGAGTGATTCTGATGGAGTGGAAATCCACGACACCTCCAAATTTTTTTAAATGGTTAGCTGAAATGGTTTCTGCCCTCAAGTTGGAAATGTTATGCTTCTCTAGATTTGGCAAACAAAAGTTGTATGAAAAAAACATGGGGCCCCTTCCTTAGATGTAAAAGTTAATAATGTTTCTGTAATAATTTTTTCTGGTAATCATTTTTTTTCCTCCACTTCCTTTTTACATGTCATTTTATTTTGTTTCTTATTCCCTCAGTCTGGCTGAAATTTCTTTTTGGTTTTTTGATGGTGCTGTATAATTGCTGTATTGTTTGCTAGTGTTTTAGAGCATGTTCTAGTTAGTATAAGGTAATAACACAGAGATAAACTTCTTAACATATATACATTACTTGGTGTTATGTTTTTACAAAAAACTTCTATAAATAAAAGTAAAAAAAAACAAAAACAAAACAAAAAGAACACTAAAGGAGATATTTTGAAGCCGAAAGCCTGTAACCATCGACTTCCATAGTAAGAAAAACAAATACTGTGGAAGTCAAGAGTTACAGGTTTTAATCTTCTTTAGTGTTTAACAGAATAAAATAGTTCATAGATGCTTAAACCACTTGAGGGCGAGTAAATAGTGAGTGAATTTTAATTTGAGTGAACTATCCCTTTAAGTTTATATTAATCATGATCTCCATTTTAAACAACAATTCCAAAAAAAATTATGAATAAACAAAAGATTAATGATTGTCTTTTTTTATCCAGAATTGTGTCAGCAGCAATGACTTACCAGTAAGACTCTGACAGCCATAAGAGCGGCGGCTCCTGTGGAAACGGTGCTGTCCATCAGGATGACATAGTCCTCACTGATGTCCTTGGGCAGACGCAGGTAATGGAGCTGAGGAGAAAAATCACACCATGATAAGACAGGTTTATAGTCCGAGCACAGATTTATGTGCCATTAGGTACAACCCGAAACATGCAAAACAGATGGAGATGTCCAGAAGTTAAACAGCGATTCCGCATTGAGACGTGCTAAATTTAGATTCAAGATGTGCATGCAAGATTTCAGGCCATAGCAAGAATTCATAAAGCTAGAAAAATTATTCTACCCCTGATATCATTTTAGAAGCATTATTTAATAGTTGAAAAACATACATAGTGGCATTTAAAATGACTGGTGTGTGTGTGTGTGTATTATCACGTCAGACTTTTATTCCTTTTATGTTTAGTCTGAAGTCTCTCTAACTTTGATACTTTTTATATCAAGTCTTTATATAAGGCATTTTTTTTCTAAATATAAGAAATTTTGTATTTATATAATCTTAAGTCATTAAAAAAATGTAATCTATATTGTTATTTTTTATGTTTATATAACTATAGAGAATAAATACATAAACACATTTTAAAATGTTCTTAAAAGGATAGTTCACCCAAAAACAAATTTTTCCTCCATTCAATCAGTCAAGTGGTTCCGAATTTTTTTTGAAAACAAAACCAGATTTTCTAAAGAATTCTGAATCTCGAGCCATTGATTTCCATGGAATTTTTGTCTTTTGTCAACAGAAGAAACTTAAACAGGGTTTGAACAAGAGAATCGTGTAAATGATGGCTTATCCCTTTAAAAAACAGAAACCTCTGGGAATATATTTTTTTTAAATTGTTGACAAACACTTTATATATGGTCAAATAAAAGGGCATTAAAAATTATTATATTTAAAATGGTTTCTTTTTAGAATGCCAATTATAAAAATAAAAAAACAAATAACATTTTTATAAAATATTATGCCATATCATAACACCAAATCATAAGCAATATTGTTATGTAATTTAAGTTAAATATTTTTAAACAATTATTTGTTAATTAAAAGAAATCTAATAATAACAATAAATAATAAATACAATATATTAATAAAATACATTTTTTAAATTAAACTAATTAAAACTACAATCATTGCTTTGGCCCAAAAAGTGCTAAAATAGAAAATGCTGAATAAATATTTGTTTTTTAATAAATATTTAATAGAGATATTTATTTTAATAAATATAATAATGTACACGGTATTTTTTTAATAATTAAGCAATATTGTTATATAATTGAAGTTAAATCATTTAAAATAATTGTTTTAACTGAAATAAAATAATAATAATAATAATACAATATATTTATAAAATACAAATATTAAACAAACAAAAAAATACAATTGTTGCTTTGACCCAAATAGAAGTACTAAGACTAAATGTTAAATAATTATTTGTATTTGAATAAATATAATGCATACAGTAAAATAATTAAGCAATATTGTTAAACAATTTAAAACAATTATTTGTTAATTGAAAGAAATATAGTAATAGTAATAATAATAAATATATTGTAATAATAAAATACAAATGTTAAACAAACTAATTAAAACTAGTCGTTGCTTTGACCCAAACTAAAGTACTAAAATATTAAAAGCTGAATAAATAATTGTGTTTGAATAAATTTAATGCATTCCATAAAAAAATATAGCAATATTGCTATATAATTTAAGGTAAATAATTTAAATAATTTTGATAATTGAAATATAATAATAATAATAATAATAATAATAACAACAACAATCGTTAATTTGACGCAAACAGAAGTACTAAAATACTAAATGCTGAATAAATATGTGTATTAGAATAAATACAATAATGCATACAGTAAAAATTAAACAAAACAAATAAGCAATATTGCAATATAATTGAAAACAATTATTTGTTACTCGAAAGAAATATAGTAATAATAATAATAATAATAATAACAAAAAAAATAATAAATGCATTGTATTAATAAAATACAAATATAAGACAAAAAAAAAAAAAAAAAAAACGAAATAAACTACAATCGTTGCTTTGGCCCAAATAGAAGTACTAAAATACCAAATCCTGAATAAATATTTGAATTTGAATAAATATAATAATGCATACAGTAAAATAATGAAACTAAAATACCACTACAACAGGTACTATATCTGACCAATGGGAATGCACAGCTTGAGGGAGCTATACTCAATTCATTCACAAAAACAGCACACGCAGTCAAACATGCATCCATCCATCAGTATCAGCACAGAGCTGTCCAGTTTATCATGTACTTTACAGAACAACACATGTTATATGTCAGACAAGAGCAGACACACACATATCAAAGCAGCAGTGAAACGGTAAGCGGAACTGTAAATCACATCAAGGCTAAGCACACAAGGACACATGATAACAGCAGTTTTCTGATCAGGGTTTGTTTATAAATGTGTGTGGGGAAGATGTGAAACCTCAGGCTCTCCTGTGTCATGATTGGTCTGGATGAGGATCTTTCCCAGTCGAATGTCCTTACAAACAGCCATCAAGGCCTGTTCCATGGTCTCTCCTGCCCGCAGAATGGACACACCGGTGATCTGTTAAATGGAAAAATAAGTGCTGGTATTTACATTGGCATTTAATAGTGTTGAACGAACAGTTCAGCTTTTTAATGACCACCATGGATCAATTTATTTGATAAAAAAAACTGCTGACAGGCCAGCTCATTTCATTTATTTTAGTGATAAATAATCATAAATGCTCTACTTATTATAGAGCATGTATATATTCAGTGCATCTGGAAAGTATTCACAGCGCTTCCCTTTTTCCACATTTTTGTATGTTACAGCCTTATTCTAAAAAGAATTTAATTCATTTATATGCTCAAAATTCTACACCCTATACCCTATAATGACAATGTGAAAAAAAAAATTTTTTTTGAAATGGTTGCAAATTTATAAAAATAAAGCTCGGCACACCTGTCTTCAGAAATTTTTGCCCATTCCTCTTTGCAGTACCTCAAGCTCTATCAGCTTGAATAAGCAGCGACAGTGTACAGCCATTTTCAGACCACTCCACAGATGTTCAATAGGATTTAGTTCTGGGCTCTAACTGGGCCACTCAAGGACATTTACAGAGTTGTTGTAAAGCCACTTCACTGGTATTGTGGCGGTGTGCTTTGGGTCATTGTCCTGCTGGAAGATGAACCATCACCCCAGGTCAAGAGGACTCAGAAGCAGGTTTTCATTCAGGATGTCTCTGTACATTGCTGCATTCATCTTTCCCTCTATCCTGACTAGTTTTCCAGTTCCTGCTGCTGAAAAAAATCCCCATAGCATGATGCTGCCACCACCATGCTTCACTGTAGAGATGATATTAGCCTGGTGATGAGCGGTGGTTTTCTCTAAACGTGATGCCTGGCATTCACTCAAAAGGGTTCAAATAAGCAGATCACTCAGCTTAGATGGCCGGCCAGGTCTAGAAAGAGTCCTTTTAGTTCTAAACATCTTCCACTTGGAGGCCACTGTGCTCATTTTAACTTTCAGAGCAGCAGAAAATTTTATGTAATATTCCCCAGCCTTGTGCCACAAGACAATCCTGTCTCGGAGGTCTACAGACAATTCCTTAGTCTTCATGCTTGGTTTATGCTTTGACATGCACTGTCAATCCTGGGACTTTAGACAAATCATGTCCAATCAACTGAATTTAGCACAGGTCAACTCTAGTTAAGCTGCTGAAACATCTCAAGAATGATCAGTAGAAACAGAATGTACCTAAGCTCAATTTAGAGCTTCACGGCAAAGGCTGTAAATACTTATATACATATGATTTTTCAGGTTTTTTATTTTAAATAAATTTGCAACAATTTCAAAAAAAAAATTTTTTTAAACATAGTCATTATGGGGTATTGTGTGTAGAATTGGGGACATAACTGAATTTAATCCATTTTGGAATAATAATAAACACTTTAAATACTATACATATTATATTATATTGTGTATGACTCCCATGAGCTTGAAGGACTGCATCCATACATCTCTGCAATGACTCAAATAACTTATTAATAAAGACATCTGGAAATCAGTATGAACATTTTTCGATTTGCTTGGTTAAAAAGATACTGAATAAACATACCCTTTTCCCGCTCAGCCTCTTCCCTTCATATACAGTTCCTTGAGGAGTTTCAACAGTCACCGGCTAAAAAGAAAAGAAAATATACTGGAATTGATTTCTTTTCAATAAAATGCTATGAAATTAAGCGTTATGACCTAAAACGAAGACTTGCTTCACTTCACACAATAAAAAAAAAATTTAATAAAAAAGTAATTTGTCCATGGGGCAAAGGTGGAGACTGGAACGCATCACTGTGTTATGAGCAACATCAGGATTAAAAGTTGGTCATTACTGACGCTCCACTCACCTTCAGCGGCAGGAAGGACAGAGCGTGCTCGATGAGGAGCCTCATTAATCTCTTTGAATAGAAAATAAATTCATCCCGACTGGTTTCTTTATTCCTGGGGGCAACAGAGGACACAGTCAATAAAACACAACAGAGGAGGAGGAGGTGAATATGAGACTGTAAACAGACAAAAACAATCCTCCTTATTTTATTTTAATTACCCAATTATGTTTCAGTGACCCAAAACGTAAAAATACACCTCAAGCTGCTACCGGCCAGCTCATTTCACACTTTAATTGCCAATTAATCATAAGTTTTACTTACCATTTATTATTAGCAACATACTGCAATAAATATTATGTCTATTGATCAAAAATACAGTAGAATAGCAAAATTGTGAAATATTACTACACTTTAAATACAAAATTATTATCAAATAAATATTTACACTACCCACTTACTTTTTAAACTGTGGCGTTCTTACTTGCTAGGCATGTAATTTTAATAAACTGGAAGAGCCCCCAGCAGCCACCCTCGCATGCACAGTGGCTGAAGGATTTCTTGTATTTTGTGAAACTAGAGAAAATTAGATACTCCCTTCAAAATTACATAACAGAATGTTTGTCAAAACTTGCAAGCCCTTTTTTGTTAAAACTCCAACTGGACCTAGACCGATCACCCTTGCTTGCTCTTTACAATAATAATAATACATCAGTTTGTAAACTTTTAATGTCTCAAATTGTAACATTGAGATTTTTGCATAAATGTAGACATCTGACCCTCATTTAGTTGTGTAATTGGGTTTTATCTTGTTATTATTTTAATTTACTATTTCTATAAGGGTTGTTTGATGTGTTTGTAAAATGTAAACATGTTAAATTATAAATAGAAACATCATATTTAATAAATACATATTATTAAATATTAAATAAATAGCTGGATTTATTTGATTTAAAAATAGAGTGAAAGAGCAATATTGTAAAATACGAATACATTTATAATGAATAAATATTATATTTTAAATGTATATTAATTATATAATTATTAATTCACACATTTAAAAAAGCTTATTAATCATAAATTCTGCTTTACATTTATTAGTGACATACTACAATAAATATTATGTCTATTATGCTCACTAAGGCTGAATTTATTTGATAAAAAAAGAGCAACATTGTGAAATATTACTACACTTTAAAATAACTTTTATTTATTTATTTTTTTAACTATTTGCAGTGTCATAAGCCTACGTATCTATTATCTGTTAAAACAATCCATTAACTTGTTTAGCCTTTTTCTCATATTTCACTCTCTTTTGCACCTGGATTTCGTCAATAAATATGTATACCTACAAATAATGCCTGACAAACCATTGTAGCGCAAAACAATATCACAATTTTATCTTCTGGAAATGAACATTTATGCAAGCAAAATGATTTTTGTGTTTGCATGAAGAGAGCAAAATTAATGTCGTTTTGATGTTTTGTTAGAAACAAATATGCAGGTTGACTCTTGTACTCAAAGTCTTTTGAGATTTGAAATTGCAATGTGTTTGCTTGTGAACATGTCCAGTTAACTGATACCTGTTTGAGTGATACCTCAGAGAGGGTGTAGGAGTGAGCAAGTCGTGTGATATGCATTTACAAACACTCAGGATCCTTTTTATATTATTCCATTAGGTTCAGAAGAGTGTGCTGTTTTGTTTTATATTTAGAGTAGATTAGTTAAGACGTTTGGTACGTTGAACATGTTTCTTTTCATGCTTTTTAAAAATATTTTAGTTTAATACAGTTAGTATGTTTAGTTATATTATTTCCTTCATTTAAGCACTTCTAACTACCTCCTCTCCAACAGGAATTTATCATTTATTAATTGTAAATATTTTTCTTTCACTGTACAATATTTTCACTGGTTTCACTGAAAGTATGTGCAATACATAATTGCAGTGATATTTGGTTTTCAGTTGTTTCTTTTTCCATTCATTTGTCATACACACATTAAACTCTTATATGTTATGTCAAATACCCTTAGTTTAATAATAACAACATCTAAAAGGTCGTAACAACTGTTTTTATACATTTAAAATGGATTTAAATACCATTCATCACACAACAGCTAACACTAATACAGTAATTACCTATTAAAATGTCATTATACTTTTCATACAGTAACAATCAAATCAAATTTCACATCAGCCAGTTTAAAAATAATTTTTTTTTATAAAAAGGCATGTTTTTATTTGTGGTTTGTGAAATTTTAAAAGGTTAAGAATAAAAAAAAAAAAAGTATAAAAGAAAGCTGATTAAATCAAGGTATACAAAACCTTCACATTCACTCATTAATAAAACATTACTACCCATATAAAATATGATTTTATTTTACTAATATCAAAGTTATGAATATTTTATAATTCTTATAATAAATAATTCCAAACAGAAATTCAAAAACTATATACAGATTCTGAATGCATTATGGAGGCCAACAAAAATATTATGGTGAGCAAATCTTTGACCACTGTTTGTGTATGTTATTCTTAAATTTATTCATTCATTTTTTTTTTTGGCTTATTACCTTATTTATCAGAGGTCACCACAGCGGAATTAAGCGCCAACTATTCCGGCTTTTTTTTTCCGTAACGGATGCCCTTCCAGCTGCAACCCATTACTGAGAAACACCCATACACCCTCACATTCACACACACTCATACACTACATGAATTGGGTAAACAAAATTGGTCGTATAGGGCATGTCTTTGGACTGTGTGGGAAACCAGAGCACCTGGAGGAAACTCACACAAACACAGGGAGAACATGCAAACTGGCCCAGCTGGGACTCAAACCAGCGACCTTCTTGCTGTAAGGTGACAGTCCTAACCACTGAGCCACATTACCACCCACATTATTTTAAATAAAATAAATAGATAAATAAAAGAGGTCCTACCTGATAATAGTGTGCATTCCTCTGACCTGCGGTGTACTCTCCATGACACTTAAGGTTTTGGGCAGAGGTTGACCCTGATGGGCAGAAGCCAGGGCTGATCTATACGGCACATGGATGCAAGACATAAATAATCCACAAAAAGCAACCCAAAGAGTAACAAGTCCTTTTTTCGTTAAAGGATGTTAATGACCCACTGCAAATATGGTTTGAAGAGCTGATGTGAGATTGATGTGAGCAGGTAAAGGTAGTTAAGGCCCATTCACTTCATCTAAATGTTTCAATGTAGACAATGGATCAAATAAACTCCTCACAAACCAAAAAGATATTAAACTGTTTTGGCATTGAAATCAAGATGTTAAAATATGAGGAGGTTCAGACTCTGTGAACAGGCCTTTAAACTGGAAGGTGAAAGAAGTCAAAGTATGGCAAACAAAGGTCTGATGCACAAGCATTAAAGAAACAGTTCACTTAAAATGACAATATCCATCATTTTTCACTCTCATTTCATTCAAAACAAGTAAAAAGGCAGGCAGAAATGGTTAACACCTTGTTTTATCTTTTGCAAATAAAATAAATTACATTTATTACAGAGGGGAGAGTAAATGATGATATTAATTTAGGCGTAAACCATTTCTTTAACAGTGAAATAATGTTGAATTAAAAAAAAACAAAAAAAAAAAACAAGATGGGGCAAGCCTGAACTCAATCGGCTTAAAGGAGCAAAGAGCAAAAACCGAGAGCCCTTTAGTGTGTATTAAAAGAACAATGTTTCAATTAAAAGGGATAGATTTTGTGATTACCCCAAAACAAAAATTTACAGACTATTGACTCTTCCTCAAGTAGATCCAAACCTTCATGACTTTCTTTCTTCTGTTGAACACTTACGAGAATATTTCAAAAGAAAACCTTTAACCATTTACTTCAATAATAAAAAAAACGAAAACTGTGGCAGTCAACGGTAACAGGTGTTCAGCATATTTCAAACTATCTAAATTTGTGTTTATAATATAGAAACTCAGGTTTAAATCAAGTAAAGCATGAGTAAATGATGACAATTTTCATTTTTGAGTAAACTATCCCTTTAAGAAATAAAAGGACTGTTTTAAGTAATTTACAAGGGCTATATGTAGTATAGTGTGTGTGTGTATGTGTGTGTGTGTATTAGTGACAACAGTCTTTTATGAAAACTGCAGCAGAAAACTTGTGTCAACAATTTATAACAATATATATATATATATATATATATATATATATATATATATATATATATATATATATATATAAATCTTATAGTGATGTGGATAGGTTTCAAAATAACACTTTCAAGAAAGTATAATTATGGCTTTAAAAAAATAAAGATAAAATAAAAATAAAATAACAAAATAATAATAATGATAATAATAATAAACTAATTTAAAATATGTCAAATTTATTAAATTAGCAAAAAAATTGCATTCAAATTTTTGGTGCATCATATCAAGGAGATATAATGATGTAACCGATTGGTTTTTATTTAGCAACTTGTGCTGCTTCTCAAACAAATCAAAAATCTATTTTCCGACTTCGGGAAAGCCACTAAAAGTCAGGCATTAGACCTGTGAACTCGGGACTAGTTCTGCTTTTAAGTTGTTTTAAATCGTTCATACACTCACCAGGCACTTTATTAGGTGCACCTGTCCAACTGCTCGTTAACACAAATTTCTAACCAGCCAATCACATGGCAGCAACTCCATGCATTTAGGCATGTGGACATGGTCAAGACAACCGCATCAGAATGTGGGAAGAAAGGGTATTTATGTGACTTTTAACATGGCATGGGTGTTGGTGCCAGACGGGCTGGTCTGAGTATTTCAAAAATTGATAATCTACTGCATTTTTCACGCACAACCATCTATAGGGTTTGCAGATATTGGTCTGACAGACGGAAAATATCCAGTAAGTGGCAGTTTTGTGGGTGCAAATGCCTTATTGATGCCAGAGGAGAAAGGCCAGACTGGTTCGAGCTGATAAAAAGGCAAAAGTTACTCAAATAACCACTCGTTACAACTAAGGTATGCAAAAGAGCATTTCTGAACGCACAACATGTCCAACCTTGAAGTGGATGGGCTACAACAGCAGAAGACCACACCCGGGCCACTTCTGCCAGCTAAGAACAGGAAACTAAGGCTACAATTTGCGCACCAAAATGTGACAATAGAAGACTGGAAAAACGTTGCCTGGTCTGATGAGTCTCGATTTCTGCTGTGACATTCGGAGGTAGGGTCAAAATTTGCATCAACAACATAAAAGCATGGATCCATCCTGCTTTGTATGAACGGTCCAGGCTGGTGGTGGTAAAATAGGATATTTTCTTGGCAAACTTTGGGCCCATTAGTACCAATTGACCATTGTGTCAACGCCACAGCCTACCCGAGCATTGTTGAAGACCATTTCCATCACTTTATGACCACAGTGTACGCAGCTTCTGATGGCTACTTCAAGCAGGATAACGCACCATGTCATAAAGCGTGATTCATCTCAGACTGTTTTTTTAAACATGACAATGAGTTCACTGTACTCAAATGGCCTCCACAGTCACCAGATCTCAATCCAATAGAGCACCCTTGGAATGTGGTGGAATGGAAGATTCGCATCATAGATGTGCAGCCAACAAATCTGCAGCAACTGCTTGATGCTATCATGTCAATATGAACCAAAATCCCTGAGGAATATTTCCAGTACCTTGTTGAATCTATGCCATAAAGGATTAACGCAGTTCTGAAGGCTAAAGGGGGTCCAAGCCAGAACTAGGAAGGTGTACCTAATAAAGTGGCTAGTGAGTGTACATTGCCAGCAGAAAAACTGATCTGCACATAGAAAATCTTACATATAGCCCCTTTAATACATTTTCTACATTATGACTGGCAGTTCACAGAGTCTCAGCCCATGTTCCCATACAGAAAGACATAAAGAAATCATGTCCTAACCCGAAGTGACTTAGAAAAGTGACAAAAACAAAAAGGATGTCTGTACTGACTGAATCCTAACTACAATGACAACCAACTGACAGTTTTAATGGGCAGAATTTTGCAAATTTTGAGACTTCCACTTGTGACTGAAAATGTAGTGAGGTCAATTACGAGTGCCACTATAAAGGGGCGTTCCAAACCAAAGTGCTCAAAACTGCCCACTTCAAAGGGTCCTCCAAAATGAAGGAGTTCAAAGGGTACAAATGTTGGACTATTTTTGCTTGATTCTTAAATGTGATCCAAGACGAAAGAACTGAATTTGTAAAAGTATTTTCAGTTGCCCAAATCCTTCACCCATTCGAAACCCTCACTAATTCTTTTTAGGGATTAGTGCGTAGGGTTGAACTTTTCAAAATGGAACGCAGCCTAAGAGATAGTCAGAATGTCTTGTCACAATTGAGGCTAGATAGGACAGTGTGAATGTTATTAGTTAAACAAAAGCTTGGAAATAAAATCCAAACAAAGCTGGAAAAAGCTTTGGAAAAAAATAAAAGCTGGTTATTAGCAAAGGAAAAGATTATGCTTTTATAAAGCAAGAGACTATGGATTCAAGAAAATATAAAACAAACAGAAAAAGATGGCGAGAGGATGCAAGAATTTATCCTCACATATCCCAGCGGAGTTTCCTCTGAAGAAGGGAATAAATGTTCAGTGGGAGACAATGATGACGGGACAGACAGAGAGAAGAGAGAGGGAGGGAGAAAAGAACACGACCTGATTAATGTCTATACGGAGCAGACGGACACGCCACAGCTGGGATGAGCGCAGGTCTGGGAGGTATCCCAGTGGTTTTCAGCAGCTGTTGGCCTGAATGCTATTATAAGATGGCAACATGTGTCTCAATGCTGAGGTGATCTACACTACTGACGGCTTTCACAGGAAAACCACTGAAATAAGCCCATTCCTGTGTTAGCAACAGCATCAAAATAACACAGTGGAAGTGGAGACAATAGGTAGACTGTGATGCTATGGTGTTTTCAGCCTCACAAAGCTCATTTAAAAAGATATCTCTGACGTTCAAATCAATTAATTCAGGTCCTCATTGTAGCCTCAACTCAAGTTTTATGTTCTTTTACAAAAATACATTAAAATGATCAAAAACTGCTACCAAAAAATTTTTATTTTGTATTTTTTTATATAAAATTAGTTTGATTTAAAACTACTACAGCTAAATTTACCTTTGCTATCAAAGGATTAAATTTAAGGTAAATTGTAACCACATTATTATGATTGTTTTTTATAACATGCTCATGACCATAAATCATGCCATGGCATGTCAAAATTGCATTGAGGGGAGACAAACAATTACTATGTTTCCATCCAAAGATGTGAATTAAATGTATGCGCAAAACTGGAAAAAGAAGTGCGAATAAAGAATTGTTTCCATCCAACGAGTCAATGAGAACAAAATCACCACTTCCTGATTGACTGGCCCCAAATACCAAGAGAAAAACATGGAATTTGCTGCGATAGGAGAAGCTGCGTCAATCTTTTCTTTATTTAATAAATGACTTGCGCCATAGAAGACAGTATGCTGACATGCAATGAACACGTGATGGTGTTTAAAGGCATAAGATGCAGAGAAAAGACACTAAACAGTTCATAAGGTAAATAATAATATAATAACACTAATACTGAAACAGTTAAGACGTTTTAGAATGACCAAAACAACATTTCAGATGTTTTATAATGTGCTCAGCCTGCTGGTTTATCCATTTACACATTTTTATCGTCACATGATCTCTTATAACAAAATCACATGACTTTTATGCGCATTTTGGAATATTTTTCGGTAAAAGTGTTTCCATTGTAGTTTACAGTTTGTGCATCTTTTCTTACCGAATAAAGTTTATCCTACATCCTACATTTTAAGCTTATTTTCAAATTGTATGCACATCTTGGCGTTTCTGTTTAAAAACTTTGCCATGTGAAAGCTATCTGCACCAAGAACAAAGAGCAACATTGTAACAGTTTTAATTCTTGTTTCAGAACAAGATAATCGATCCACTGGTGTGAAAGCATCCTAAGTCTCCAAGATTAAAAGCTTGTCTGTAATATGCCTTTTTGTAATATAATTTAGTATTTTATGTCATAATTTTATTTACTTATTTGTTTATTGTTTATTTAATTACAATTTATTTTATTTATTTATTTATTTTTTCATGTGGGGGTCAGGATTTAATTGACATGTATGAAGGATATTATTTTATTACTCAATGTCATTTTTTAAAACTTGTTTTTGCACAGCGCTTTAAGCTTTCTCAGTCACTGTAAAATATAGCATTTTTTACAGTATTTTGATCAAATAAAATGCATCCTGGGGATCATAAAAGTAAGAAACCCAAATGATTGAACACGACTGTATTCAAATAAAAACAGGTTTCAAACTAGTATTTTCATTTTAAGCAGAACTGTATTTCTATTTATACTGTGGCCTTAACAACACTCAGCATTCAATTTGTTAAGTGCATTGGTGCGTATCCAACACCACAGCCTTTCCTTTTGTCTCCATTTGCATCTCTGCAGCTTTTGAGGAAAAGAAAAGGACAGATGAAAGCACAGGTTTGGAAAGAATGAAGGAAAGTGAGATGGAGGAGAATGAGGGGAAAAAGCAGCCATACCTCACTGTGATTTCACGCTGGGATGGTTAGAGCGATCGGTTGAGGGTTTAGCAAATATTTCATTACAAAACACACACGGGGAGGAGAAGAATACAAAAAGAAAGAAAAAAATAAATAAGACAAACTCATGAAATGAGATATTCACTCAGAAAAGCCATTCCAAACAGTCAGCCCTCACGCTCTCCATGGTATACTGAGAAACATTTCATGACTCTATCAGCAACCCTTTATTTAACCTGATGCAAATCACATTTTAAACAATTTTTATTTTCACAATAGCAAATATTGTTTCTTTTTTTCAAACAAACAAAGAAACATACATAATCTCTTAGAAAGAATAAGACTTGCAGATCTAACATATCATATGCTTTGTATTTTCTACTTTTTTAACAGCAAATATACAGTACAATAGGACATGGAGAGCTACAAGTCATACAAAAGACTGCCTTAAAAAACAAAAATAAAATCTATCCATTTACTCCAAAATTGGAAAAAAGTCTTCTGTTTGTGTTCTTAATGCAAAAAGATTCTGTATATTTTATTCTTCAACCACAGCTGACTCCAATTTTAACCATTTTAAATAATTACTTTTTTTCTAACAGCCTATGGAATTATTAACAGTTTCTTGACCTTGTTAATCCACCCATCTAATGTTATATTACCCAAATATAAAGATTCACAAGTGAAAGCGATCTCTTCCTCAAAAACAGCTTTTGAGAATATAGTCAACAATAAAAATGATTTCAGCAAATATTGTAATTTAACAGTCATTATATGTGCAGTCCATGTCATAAAGCTGTGAAATCAAGTGTTTATATACAATTTCTTCCTGAATTTGAAGAGGGACTCATTGGAACTTTTCCATTTCATAGTAAGAATTTGAATAAATAAAACAAAACTTATACTTTAAGAGATTGCATTATTTGGGAGCTTGCTGACAAGATTTTTTTAACTCACAATTTTATTATAGAACATTTATGTTGAATCTGAAGAAAAAAAGATAGATAAAAAGCCAAATAAAATGTATCATCATTATTAACAGTTATCATTAATAAACAGCAAAAATAATAAAGCCCTTCATAAGAACATTTATAAGAATATTTTAAATAAATAAACAGATAAATAGCTAAATTAAAGTAATTTTATAATCAATACAATTATAACAAAATAATAATAATAAACAGCAACACTTAAAATCTTTAAATAAAGCCCTATAAATAGCATTTATACATTTTGAATAAACAAATAAATAGCTAAATTAATTATTTTTGTAATCAAAACTATAACTAACAAAATAATAATACCAACAACAACACTAATAATATTTAAATAAAGCCCTATAAAGTATAATTTATAATAGTTTAAATTAATAAACAGATAAAAAGCTAAAGCTAAATAATTTTAAAAACAATACAATAATTAAAACAAAACAATACTCAGCGGCAACACTAATAATCTTTAAATAAAGCTCTATAAAATAACATTTATAAGAATTGTTTAAACAAATAAACATAAATAGCTAAATCTAATTTATCATCATCATTAAGTACTATATTTATAACAAAATAATAATGATAATAACAACAACAACAACAACAATAATAAACAATCCCCAATGCCCTTTATAATAATATTTATAAGAATAGTTCGAATAAACAGACAATTAGCTAAATCAAATTTTTTTCATAGTACAATAATTATAACAATAATAATAATAAAAACGGCAACAATAAAAATTAAATTAAGCCCTATATAATAATATTTATAAGACTAGTTTGAATAAAACAGACAAATGGCTAAAACTAATTTATAATCATCAGTACTACTTTAATTTTAACATAATAATAACAACAACAACAACAACAATAAAACCAACAGCAAAAATCATCTTTAAATAAAGCCCTATATAATAATATTTATAAGAATAGTTTGAATAAAAAACTGATAAATAGCTAAATCTAATTTGTTTTCTAATCAATATAATCATTATAACAAATAATAATAATAATAATCATCAACATCAACACTAATAATCTTTAAATAAAGCAATATATATAATAACATTTCTAAGACTAGTTTGAATAAGACAAATGGCTAAACCAAATTTATTATTATTATCATTACTTTACTCTTACCATAATAACAACAACAACAATAATAATAAAATCAACAACAACCACAACAACAGCCTTTAAATAAAGCCCTACATTAAATAAAGCCCAGTAAAATAACATTTATAAGAACGGTTTGAATAAATAATCAGATAAATAGCTAAATCTAATTTATTATTACCTAGCCCAGGTGTTGATATTAAAACATGCATAATTAAAAAAAAAAAAAAAAATCCTGTACATCATCAAACAATATAGCAAAATGTTAATAGTGTCACTATTCAAAGATTCAAATGGAAACAAAAAAAAAAACATCCTAAATCTCTGCAACCTCTCTAAAAATAGATTTTTTCCAATCAAAGTCCTAACAGAGCAGTATGTGACGAGAAACCCAACTCGAGCCAGTGGCTTTCAGAGCATGACATCTTTTGTACAAAAGCGCAAGGTTCATTAGTCTTAACGATCATTTCTCACGATGACCGATCGAGTGAAGAAAAAGACAAAAGCATTTTCCAGCTGAAAATAATTCACAGCTTTATTCATTCAGCCTGCCAGTAACAGAAAAGAATTACATTTCAAAGGCGGCTCTAAACTGGATTATATCTGTTATCGATATATGGAAGCAAGCGTCACTCATTAGTGTCAACATCTTTGTCTTTCCAATAATTACCTTAGTAACTCAACATGAAATTCAAATGTTCCTAATGCACGACTCTTGGTTTCTCAGTATAATGTCTCAACATTTCATCAGAACATTCTATTTGAATGAAAAAAAACTAGACGGAGAGTTTTGAAATATTTTTGGAAGTTTTGGAATAGTTTCTGCAAGTACCAAGCTGCTATAAATAGGACATTTTTCACAATACAAATCAATGAATAATTGTAAAGAACTAAGAAGTCTTCATATATATTTATTTTTTCCTGCAAACTTCAATTACAGGAATCCAGGACTACAAATATAGAGATTTTTTTCTTGTCTGGACTATTTTCAACAGTATATCTTGTCGCAGGTACAGTATTGCCACTAGAGGGCAATCTATACTTATACCATGACCGAAGTATACTGATAGCATGGCTTGGGCTTCATACGCACACACATGCAACATTTGTGCGTATTAGGAAGAGCATGTGGATCATCTAGCAGGGAAACAACATGCACCTTAACCATTCCTTATTATGCATAGGCCAACTAATCCTTCTACCTCTGTTTTCAAACATATAAGTGAGCAAAATTTCTAACATACCTTTTCCAGCTGACTGTGAACGTGCTGAACTATTAGATCCAAGGCTACAAAGTTTTCTCCACCTGGAGCAACAAGGAACAATATGTTGTTAAAAATGAATTAATGTAATGATTTAATACTATTTTAAAATGAGTTTAAATGTTACTTTTCTAGGCACAAATCTTCTATAGTTCTGAAAGAAAAGATGACTATAACTGATATAAAAAAAGCTTTATTTTTACGTGTACTGATTTGTAATCTCTCAGAAATATTATTTTGTTGTCTGCTGAAGACAAAAACTAAATTAAATAAACGAAATTAACTTAGAACATAACTCATAACTCATTCAGTTTAAGTTCTGCTTAATATTATCAGTTTATGAGTCACTTTTTCATTAAGTCAAAGTAGCTTTTTTTAAATTGTAAATTAAACTAAGTAATTTCATTTAGTCACTTTCAAATTTTAGATATTCCAGTTATTTTATGCATAATTAACACCAAAATTATTACATTTCTCAAAGACCGCAATTATAACTAAATAAGGTGTTTATTAAAAGGGTAGTTCACCCAAAAACGTATCTTTGCTGTTTATTTACTCAACCTTAGGCCCTCCGAGATGCAGATGATTTTCTATGAGCGATAAAGTAAAAAAAACAACAATAAAAAGATAACTAAATAAAGTTATTTATATATATATATATATATATATATATATATATATATATATATATATATATATATATATATATATAAACTAATAAAATATAAAAGTATAAAATATTAATTACTAAAATATCAATAATATTAATAATAAATAAAATTTAAAAAAGGAATGTTTATAAAAATGACTAAAAATATAAATAAATAAATTAAATAATAACAAAATAGAATAAAACAAACATGTAGTATAGGTGAAATGGGTAAGCTAAATTGGCTGTAGTGTATGGGTGTTTGTGTATGAATGTTTCCCAGAGATGGGTTGAAGCTAGAGGGGCATCCGCTGTATAAACCATATGCTGGATAAGTTGGTGGTTCATTCTGCTGTGGCGACCCCAGATTAATCAAGGGACTAAGCCGAAAAGAAAATTAATGAAAATATAAATAAAATAAAAATAAATAAATACATATATCAAGCTAAAGAAAATGTATAAAAGTGTCACCTGATGATATATTGACATCTTATGAAGTAAACAATAGAAAGAACATTATTATCTTCAATCCACAGCTTCAGCAAATGATCCTGAACACATTTTGTATTTGGTTTGCCTGTATGATTTTTGACTCTCAAAGTGCTGGTAATTAGTGACTGGATGTTTATGAATTACCAAGTATGTTTTCAGCTAAAAACGTTGTGTACTTTAGTAAAATAAAAGTCACCTACACCTTGGACAGTCTGAGAATTAACAAATAATATACAAATTTCTTTTTGGGTGAACCATTTTTTTTTCAAACAAATATAAAAAAATAGGATTACTTCATTTTACATTACTTCATGTTTTGCATCAAAACTTGACGTTTTCCAAATGCTCATACCTCTTGGGACCACAATATCTGCAACCTGCACAGTGGGTTCGATGTACTGCTCGAACGCCGGCTTGACAAATTTGTTGTACTGTTTAATGACACCTGAAATGTCACGTCCGCGATCAGTAATGTCCCTTTTCAGACGTCTGACCAGCCGGATGTCGGAGTCTGTGTCAACAAACACCTTCATGTCTAGCAGCTGAAAACAGAAATACAACACCAAGTGTGTCAGAAACTCACAACATGTTCAAGAAAAAGAAAGGGTGTAAAGGATAGTGCACTTTCTTTATGTTGTAGCTCAAGCGTGGGTTGTAGAGCTTTCGTTTAAGCATTAGTAGTATCAAAAATGTATGGAATAAAATACTGTTCTTTTGATTTTTATTAGTCATCAGTTATTAAAAACTTTCTCATTACCACAAAAAAAATGCAGCAGTTTTAAACTAACATATGAGAATGATCTCTAAAAGATCGTGCAACACTGAAAACTGAAATATAAATATATACAGTTGAAGAATTATTAGCCCCCTTTAAATTTTTTTTCTTTTTTTTTTTATATTTCCCAAATGAGGTTTAACAAAGCAAGAAAATTTTCACGGCATGTTTGATAATATTTTTTTCTTCTGGAGAAAGTCTTATTTGTTTTATTTTGGCAAGAATCAGTTTTTAATTTTTTTGAAAACATTTTAAGGACAAAATTATTAGCTCTTTTAGGCTATATATTTTTTTCGATAGTCTAATGAACAAACCATCGTTATACAACACCATTTGACAATAACTTATCAAAAATAAAAAACCTGAAAAATCGCATGTACACAAGTATTCACAGCCTTTAACGTGAAGCTCTAAATTGAGCTCAGGTACATTCTGTTTCAACTGATCATTCTTATGATGTTTCAGCAGCTTAACTGGAGTTCACCTGTGGTAAATTCAGTTGATTGGACATGATTTAAAAAGGCATAGAAAGAAAACTAAGAAAAACCAGGCACCGCTCATCACCAGGCTAACACCATCCCTACAGTGAAGCATGGTGGTGGCAGCATCATGCTGTGGGGATGTTTTTAAGCAGCAGGAACTGGAAGACTAGTCAGGATAGAGGGAAAGATGAATGCAGCAATGATCAGAGAAATCCTAAATTAGAACCTGCTTCAGAGTACTCTTGACCTCAGACTGGGGCGACGGTTTATCTTCCAGCAGGACAATGACCCAAAGTACACTGCAAAAATATAAATGGAGTGGCTGCCCAACAACTCGTGAATGTTCTTGAGTGGCCGAGCCAGATCCCAGATCTAAATCCTATTGAACATCTCTGGAGCAATCTGAAAATGGCTGTACGCCGTCGCTTCCCATCCAACCTGATGGGAGGTACTGTAAAGACGAATGGGCAAAAATTTGGAAAAGGGAAGCGCTGTGAATACTTTCTGGATTAAATTTAAGTGAATTGAAGATAAAACAATTACCCTGTCCCTCCAAAAATTAAGAAAATTGCTGTTTCAAATAAATTAATAATTTGAACAAGCAGTAAAAGCCAGCCTGGCAAAATAACTAGCAAAATATCATGTACTGTCATTCCGGCAAAGATTAAAAAAATTTTTATTAGCAATTAGTTAAAAAGTTTGTTTGACAATGTGTTAAATTCTGTTCAAATTAGGAAATACTTTAAAAGAATCAAAGTCTAAAAATGTTGTATTTAGTTGCATATGAAATTACTTTTGTAAATGTATTTTGATGTAGACACCAAAAACAGCCTTGCACATTTGATTCAAAATTAGTTTCTCTCTGGAGAAAACAAACTGAAATTGTCTACTGTTGAGTTTTTTCCATGACATCTAACCCAATTTTCATCTATTTCAGATTTTTTTTTGTCCTATTAGACTATACAGGTCAAATCTGATTTCCCTTAAGCCAAGTGATGTAAACCAACCAAAGCAGACCCAATCAGTTCAGAATCAACAACTGTCTCTCCTTGACGGTTTCTGTTACTGAAAACCAGCATCCGATCCTTCAACGGCATAGGCTGATAGCAAGTTAAAAAAAATGGCTCAGCAAAGAGAGAAGTCAGGATCAATCAAAGCAATGTAGTGCAGCGTGATGCCAACTACCCAAGACGGATCGCTTGTGCCGATGCTGAAGCTAAAAATTAATATCATTCAATGAGCCGACAAGATACAGGAAAGACATTACATTTGAGAGTAACGATAAACAATCCAACACCCTTAAACAGCAGAGCCAGCAGCCCTGCTAACACGACGAGGTAAATCTTTGAGTGCAAGAAACGTATATGAATGGGGTGAAAGGTCAAGTGTATTTCAAGTTTTAAAGGACAGAAATTCATCCCTCATTGCTTGTATATCTCTCAAATGAAAGAGGAGCTGTCACTATATTCAGCGACAAGATGTCAAATCCATTTCAGTAGTGATAAATATAATATTAAAGAACTGTTCAAAATCAGAAATGTGGTATTTTTTTATATGCTGCTGTTTTGAACTTGGTGGGTTGGTCGGCGGTGGGTGGAGTGTTTCTCACAACTAGTATAAAACTGGTAAATCAGGACAATAAAACGCATTCAGTCTTGTAAAGCAGTGATTTCAGGCTTCCCTGTTCCCACTCAAAGCCAAATAGCAATTGTTTTAAACCTTTGAAGACTCTCACCGGCTAAAAAGCTGACTAATAAGCTGAATTTCCATGACCTGTAATGAATAGAGAAACAGGCAGGCAGTCGTTTTTAACAAAAAATCTGCAGGAACTGGTTGAAAAAAATACAGCAACAGACAGTGTATTTTAAAAGGTACAACCTGGTGACTGCATTTGATTGCAGAGTTGCCAAGGAATAAAAAGGCATTGAAAAATAGCCTAGCCATGGCAATAAGAAAAACATGTATATAAAAAACTAAATCTACATAAAAAATAATAATAATAATACAAAAATATATATTTTAATAAATTGGAAGCAAGTCAAATTTAAAATGATAAAACAAAATCCTTGACATTCCCAGACAATTCCCAGACTTTCAATGCCTGAAATAGACCTTTTAAAAACTCAATTTTCCAGAAAAGCCCATGACTGTGGGAACCCTGTGATTTCCTGAGAGATTTGAGTGATTAAATCGTGACTATAAAACTGACTGATTTAAGACCTTTATTTACAAAACTGACATTTGTGTACATTAGGCATGTCCAAACTCAGTCCTGGAGGGCCGGTGTCCAGCAAAGTTTAGTTCCAACCCCAATCAGACACAACCGGGCTAGATAGTTTTTACTAGACTTTCTAGAAACCAACTTGCATCAACACACCTGCAAGAATAAGCTAAACTCTGCAGGACACCGGCCCTCCAGGACCAAGTTGTTCATGACCCCTGGTGTACATGATATGTTTTTTTTTTTTTTTTTTGTGGAGCAAAATATATGAATGCAAAAATTTAGAGTAGTTTAACAATTTAATGACTTTTTATTGGGTTGTCTTTCAGTCATCTATTGGGTATTTCGTCATTAAATGCAACTGCACATTACTTTACGTATAGACCATTATAATGTGGCTATGTCACTGGCCCATGAACATTTCCTGCTTGTCAAACTATTTTATATCTGTAACAAGAGATGACTCAATCATAACTTGATGTTATAACAGCTATCATAACATTACTTATCAATATGTGGCAGCTATAGATATTTTTAAATGTAAAACAGGGAATACGTCAGGACCATTGTTATTGTTTACATCCTTTAAAAAGATGGACTAGCTTTTTATTTTTTTTAGTTTGTAAAGTAATATTTTTTGTCTTCTAGTAGATATACAAGATTTTCTTTGACAAATAAGTGGATGGAGTTGTATTTGCATCGTAAACTATAAATAAAAATAATATTTTTAATTTTAATATATTAACATTTTAGTTAAAATATACTCACATTTTTTTTTAAATTTTTTTTTTTTACAAAATTCTCAGCACAAGGCCGCAGAAATAGCAAAAAATCTCTGCAGATTCTGTCAGGCCCTACTTATGACCTATTAACTATGTTCTACCCTAAGAACGTGGAGCAACTGAAGAAAGAACAAATTTAGTTACAAACTAGCTAGTAGTTAACATCACCAATAGACCCTTCGCTAAGCCCCGCCCTCCTTAGTTACTGTTGCTATGCCTGTCAAGCTTTCGTGCCTGGCACGGCTTTTTCAATGTGTGTGCAGCAGTTTCAGAAATTGCCAGGGATATAATGTCATTTTTGGAGAACAGGTGAGATATCAGAGAAAGCCAGACAAAAAAAGACTGCAGTATACATTACAGGAGTATATTCACCACATAATAGGCAACCGATTAGAGAATAAATCAATCAAAATTGAAGCTAGCTTAGCCTAGCCGCCTTATACGCTAACCATTCAAAAGCTTAGCTCATGCTCACCAGGAGAGCTGACATTTAAAAATAATCTAATAATAATAAATGAAACCGTGATTTCTCTATTTTTAGCCAAAAAGCCTTATAGGTTAATGCTGAGCAATGAAATATAGCCTTACTAACCGGCAAGGAAACACGCATAACAGTGCTTTTACATAGTTCATTCATAGAAAGAACAGCCAGAAAGGGTGAAACTGGTGGATTTGTGCTGAATATTAGCATCATTGACCCATAACAACGTACAGTAAGTTACCTATTACTGTCAGTATGTTTGAGTGCTCTTTATAAATGACTGAAAACAGCTGCGGGTAAAGTATAGTGATCGCAGCTGCTCAGTTTGTGATCATATCTCGGTTTTGTTCTGTTGATTTGTAATGTCAAATATTCGTAGCTTGAAACAGATGGAAATATGAAGTTCAGTAAAGTTAGCAACAGATTCGCAGATTAGTTTTTTCTGGATCAATAACTCATGTCATTATGATCTATTCGCTGCTAGTATGACTACTTTACTAATCTTATGGCGAAGGCTTAAATGGAGCATTACTCATAATATCGAGCGAAAAAAAGGAATAAGACAGCTGTGAAACAGAACCAGCTTTGTGTTTTTGTAGGAAACACAGTTTAGATTCGTTTAGGGTAAGATTTGTGTGAGTTATTGCTGCCGGTCTATCACTGAAAGTGTCAGGAATATCAAAACAAAACCAACTTAGCTCTGCTTCTTTAGCGCCCCTCACACACCTTGATCCACACTGGCATTTCTCCTCTTGGGTTTAAGGTTTTGAAAAAATTCCACCATCTCGTCCAAACTTTAAGGAGACCGGGTATCAGATTTGCATAATCCATGGGCACTCGCTCGAAAGCTTGACAGAGCCCCTGTGCATAGCTACAGTTGCTAAGCCACGATTGGTGGATGGCGGTTTTTGGGCGTGGCTTAGCGAAGGGTCAATTATATATAGTCTCGTTTTTCGAAAGTATGTTGTTGTATTTTGCATTGTCTGGAACCAGCACCTATGCTTTTTACTCATCAGAGCACACATGCTACAGATAATGGGACAATAAAAGTGATTTGATTAGTTAATAAGCCTCTAGTGTGGAGTTTATGCTCCAGTTTAAGCAATAACTTACAAAAAGCTGATGCAAACCTTCCCAGATAACCGTCTAATGAGAAAAAAACAACAACAATGCATGAAGTGCCCAGCTGGAAACAGCCCTATAGAGCAGGCTACTTTTTGCTACAACTTGCACCTTTAGATTTAAACAATCAAGACAACCTCATTCTTGATCATGAATGAACAAAGGTCAAGTGTAGCTTAGTGCTAGCTTATGTTTCCAGAATGAATATATCTCACAAATAAAAGAATGAGGGTATGAAGGAGAATGATCAAGGCATTCAAAGAAAAAAAAGTAAACTAAAATCCAGAACCTATCATTAACCGAGAAAGGAAAATGCAAAAGCTTCTCCCCTTTGTTGAGTTGCATTCCTTTTGCACCACATGTGCTGCTCATAAATCACATCAGGATGAACTGCTTTGCCAAAGCATAGACAATAACTCCTATTATAATTTGTATAGATTTCCGGACACCTCGTGCTAGAGTGAATCGAAACCCGGCAATGGGAAACGTCAACGCTGGTGCAGATAAACACAACCTATTCACTTCCTGTAGCCAGCCCTCACCTTCACCATTAGAGACAGAGACAAATCAGTCATCTTCATTGAGTGGAGAAAAAACAAGAGCATGCGGGACCAAAAGAACACAAGGAGAGGAAAAATGGACAACTGACAACACAGAATACGTGTAGTCTCAATGGTACTAGGATTTAGAAATAAGACTTCTAGTTGTTCCCCCAAAATCAGTGTTTCTCAACCACGTTCCTGGAGGACCACCAACACTGCATGCTTTGGATGTCTCCTTTATCGGTCACACCCATTACAGGGCTTTCAGTCTCTATTACTGAGCTGATGGACTAAATCAGGTGTGTTTGGTTAAGGAGACATGAAGAATATGCAGAGCAGGTGGTCCTCCAGGAAAATGGTTGAGAAACACTGCCCTAAATGATAGTATAGCATCTAGAATTTGTTATATTTAACTGTCAACCAGTTTAGTAAAGTTTTTTTATTTTTTTATTATTATATATGGTCCAATAAGCAACTTATGGCTAGCCATTTCATGGCAAGATTAAGATAAATAAAAATATTAAATTAATGAAAGGGAAATAATATAATCCAATAATAATTTAGAATTCATTAAGAGATTGTACAAAAATTAATAAAAGTAAAACATTAGATATGATTTTCATTGTGATATTTGATAAATAACTTTAAATTATTCCTTGGCACACATTTGTCACATTCTATGGTTTGGCAGAGAGGGAATCTTCTCTCCTCAATCTCATCAGGATGTGGGAATGACATCCATTTCTCAAATACATTAGACTGTGAAATTGCCAGGCTCATTTCACCCTAAATTAAAAAGAACGAACTATTTGGATGATGTTAATAAGACCTACTTTTAAGACGAATACATTATTTTCAAGACAAAAATACTATAATAACCAAATATTTGTACAGCAATGAAAAAGTTGCAACTAAAAAATAGTTTTTTTATCTAAATATTAATTTCTCAACTCTCCTGAAGTAATACATGTTTTAAAAAGTTTATTTACACAGTAGTTTGTTATTTTAAATTTGGAAGAAAAGTCATCAATAGTTTAGACAAAACTAAATCTAGAATAGGAAAAAGGTTTTAGGACAAATAAAAAAAATAATTAAACAAATAATAAGAAATAATTAATTAAAATAAATAAATAAATAAAAATAAATAATAAACAAATAATAATAATAAATAATAATCCTATATTATTCATAAAACACATACACACACACACACACATATATGTGTATATATATATATATATATATATATATATATATGTGTGTGTGTGTGTGTGTGTGTGTGTGTGTGTGTGTGCGCGTATGTTTTGTTAATAATATATTATTATTTATTTATTAGTTATTATTATTATTTATTATATATATTTTATTATTATTATTATCATTATTATTTGTTTATTTTTATATGTTTTTTATTTATCCTAAATAAAATAAAAAACATATAGCGTTTAAGCATATATATCTATATATAGTATATCTTTTTTTTTCATAGCTGTATACATCTTTATCACTTATATACAGTGGGAATACACAACATACTGTAATACTCCTCTCTCTCCTCTTCCTATCATTATACAACCATCTCTCTTTTCACTTGACCTTATCTTTTATTACACTTACATTTCTCCCTTTCAGCTTTATGACTCCCATGACGCTCTTCTATATTTCAGGCTTTGAAGCTTTCCATTATTCTTCCCATTTCTATCTTTTTCTGAAAGCCTTTTTTGATAGCACAAACTACAGTTCAAGATTATATCGGAAAGCTTCATATTATATCCAGTGTGTAGCACGTTTACTGTAACATGAGGCTTACCTTTAAAAGCTCCTTGTTGGCAAAAGCCAAGATTCCCTCAAAGATCACAACATTGGCACCATAGACGGTTTTCTGTACAGGGGAAGATTAAAAGAATATTACAAAAACAAGGAATAACATAAACATAACAATGAAACTTAAGTTGATGTTCAATAAATTATGCTATTAATCCAGAACATCCTAATTAATTGCCTCCACCCCCCCCCCCCAAATAAATAAAAATGAATAAAAAAAATACATAAAAAACAAACAAACAAATAAAAAACAAAAAAAAATAAACAAATACAAAAAACACAAAGGAATAAAAAAAGAAAAAAATGAATAAATGAATTAAAAAACAAACAAATGAATAAAAATCAAACAAATTAAAAAAACAAATAAAAATCAAACAAAAGAATAAAAACCAAACTAATAAAAAATAAACAAACAAATAAAAAACAATAAAAAAATAAACAAATACAAAAAACACAAAGGAATAAAAATGAATAAATGAATTAAAAAACAAACAAATGAATAAAAACAAACAAATGAATGAATAAAAAAAAGAACAAAAAACCCAAACAAATGAATAAAAACCAAACGAATGAATAAAAAAAAACAAATGAATAAAAAAAAGAACAAAAACCTAGACAAATGAATAAAAACCAAACAAACTAAAAAAACAAATAAAAACCAAACAAAAGAATAAAAACCAAACTAATAAAAAATAAACAAACAAATAAAAAAAACAAACAAAAAAAGCAAACGAATAAAAAAAACAAGCAAATGAATTAAAAAAACAAAAACATACATGCATCCATACATTTATTTTACAACAATTACACAATATTTTGCTCAGAATGTTTAGACCAGATGTTTAGAGGTTTAGACCTGTAAAAAATAAATAAATGACACTATAACCACAACCCGGTGGCTGCAATTTCTGAGACAATTCACAATTCATATATAATTTAACATAGAAATTAATCTTCTTTGGCTTTAAAGCCAATTCCACTATAAATGAATAAAACAACATTGTATTGTGTGTAATAAATGCGACACTAAATTTGATCTCGTTTGTTTAAAGCAACAGTTGTATAAATTCATTATCTCATTTGCACTCACAATGATTATAATTAGATTATAATTACCTTGTATAATGTCATAAATCATACAATCAGCTTCTAATCCAATTCATAAATGCAGTGAATCTCAAGTTGCATTAGTTTTTTTTCCCAAAATGAAATGACACAATAATAGCACATTAAATATTGCACACCCCTAGAATCAATTATAATTAGAAGACAGACTGTAAACCCTACCTGATCAAACTGCCTAAAAACAAGCAAACTAAAGTAACCCCCCAACCCCAATAAGCTTTAAACCGCTTGTCCAGTACTACAACCATTTCCCACTGAGACTATGATGTTAATAAACTGAGGCAGTGTATAAGTGTGCAGTGATGCATTTCCTCTGTGCTCCCCCGCTTCAGATTGAGGGGAAATCTGATGGTGTCATGATCCCATTAAAACAGATGCACCACACCATGAGGGTTCCTGTCAACGGTCGCTCAGTTTGTATTGATCAGCACATGTGGCCTGGAGATCTCCATTTCTTGCTAATTAACATTACAACCAATTTCAAAACTGAAAATTTAACACTTATGCAGGCACCTTTAGTTTAAGGAACATAATATAAGCCTTGCAACCGCGAGTCCCAAAATATTCAGACACACGCATCTGAGATAGTTGCAAATTTTTGGTTTAACTTCAACTGCTTAATTTTTATATTCTGAAGCTGCCTAATGAATATTTATTTATTTGTTTGTTTGTTTGTTTGTTAATTGCCATATCAGCAGCATTTGCTAGATTAATGGTAAACTCTATACTAAATATAGACATATTGGTTTCTTAAACATTTAGTATACAATGAATATACAAATAACAACTCTAAAAAGAGTCACATACAATCTTTTAGTTTCATTTATTCATTTTCTTATAGCTTAGCCTCTTTATTCATCAGGGTTCACGATAGCAGAATGAACTGCCAACTTATCCAGCATATGGTTTACATAGCAGATGCCCTTCCAGCTGCAACCCATTACTGGGAAACACCTATACACACTCTCATTCACACACATACACTACAGACAATTTAGTTTATACAATTGACCTATACCACGTCTTTGGACTGCTTTGGAAACCCACAAACACAGGGAGAGCATGCAAACTCCACAGAAGTGCCAACTGGTTAAGCTGGGACTGGAACCAGCGACTTTCTTGCTGTGAGATGACAGTGCTAACCACTGAGCCCACTGAGTTTGATTAATGATAAATACTCTAAAATTCCTCTAGAAAGACACCTTCTTAAACATTTCCCAAATAAAAGCATTCTCTATTATGGCCCGTTTCCACTGAGGGGTACGGTACGCTTTTTTGTCTATATTTGAAGTAAAGACAACAAGCTGATGATAAGAACACGCTTGTGACTATTGAATCGCTTGGCATCTGATCCTTTCAGAAACTAACAAACGCGAGAGTGAAGCATGAAAAGAAAAGGAGAAGCCAGAAAAAACAAAGGAGCAAATGATCCTTTCAGCAACCTAAAACATAAACAAACTGCCATGTTTAACTGTTATCATCACCTTTTGGACTATTATGAACTCGGAATGACGGAGTTATTCTCTAAAAGAGGTTATATGTGCTGGTGAAGATTAAAGACACAGATGAGAGGTTTGCACTGACTGTGGGCTACATATTGCTAGTTGCTTTTGAACCCAAATAACTAGGACTAAATGTATGCTGTGTGTTGTTTTTCTGTCATTTGTAGCATATCTGAGACTGTAAGGGTCTGTTTGTGTTTAAATATGTTACATTTATTTATTTATTTTATATAAAAATTGCAGACATTACAAAAGGCTATTTCACCCTATCGTTGATCTGCATTTATAATCAAATCATGTTCGTAGAAAGGTTGGTAATGAACATTTATACACAAGTATTTATGCTTGTAAAGTCTCTGTTTTATGAGAAGTGCTTCTCATTTGATATGTGAACGACCCATTCGGCTTTACTTTGACATTTCCTCGAGTGAGAATTATGTAGACTGAAACTTTCTTTCATACACCACGCCCTTCGGTACTCTTTTGGCAGTGAAAACGCAAGCCTGATAAAGGTGGCCCGTACCATACCACTCAGTGGAAACAAGCCATCAGTTAAACAAACACATTCTATTAAAATGTCTTACCATCAAAATAATGTTACACAGCCTAACGAATAAACAGATCAGTTAAAAATATCAGTGATATAAGTGAAATCTGTAGTCTGTAACTAAGTTTTTTTAAAGCCTTGTTTGTTTTGGTTGCGTGTTAAAATAGAAGTATACAAGTTCAATATAAAGATAAACTATTCAAATTAACATCATATATGAATCTAAATATAACAGGAAAAAGAGTTCTAATGTTTTTTATGCAGTAATAATGTTATCTTCTAAAAGTATTAAAGTATTACTCACTCACAGTTACTCACTCATCTTTATTTATTTAGAACTTCAAATGAATGTAGAAATATAAAATTATTAATGAAATATAAAAACTTTAAAAAACCAGCACAAAATATTGCTGAATTGCATATAAAAACGGGCAACTTTCTCTCCATACTGCTATTCTTGTTTCTGCCTTCAGTGTAACATTGCACTTTAAATGATGGTGTGTTGATGTATTGCACTCATCCAAATGATTATGATGAAAAATATTTGCAATACCACAAAATAAACGATAGAGCATAATATGAAACAATATTATTTTATTAATACGATGTACACACATGGACAAAATTGATGGTACCCTTTAGGGATGCGACAAGATCTCGCATGATGAAATCTCGTGAGATTAAATAGTGACAAGATTTCTCGTCGAGGTGAAAAGTTGTTTCGTGACTTGTGATGTAAATTCACCTTCACGCTCCATCATAACAAGGGTTGAATTAGAACTGCAAAACAACTGTTTTGCACACTCCTGGCAACCCAGGCTGGTCAAATATTTTGAATTTGGGTTCAACATGAGCATAAAAAAAAATAAAAAAAAAAACTGGCCAGTAAATTGTCTGTATATTGTCATAACATGCAGGGTTCTTCCCTCTTCTGGTCACATGGCTGGTATCACTGGCTACGCGAATTAGAGATGCGCGGTTGGCGGTTATAGCCGCGGACTCCGCGGATAAACCGTGGATCGGGCGGATGACGTTACGAAAAAATAATATTTTAATTAAATTCGGGCGGGTGGCGGGCGGTTGTACTGTTTTTATAGGCATAGCTGGCGCACCAACGAAAAAGCCTAGGACTGACTTCACAGAATGGGAGGAGGAATCGGATACACTAATTCTAGATGAAGTACAGAAGTATTCCTCTACAAACTTCCGTATAGACGGATCAGCAGAGGAAAATCTACTTCCTTTTGGGAGAAATAAGGCCAGTCATTCCCAAGACTACAGCACCTTTCCAAGAGAATTCTATGCATTTCAGGAACAAGTGCTGCGAGCGAGCGCTCCTTCAGTGCAGCAGGGCGCAGTGGCTATGCAGGCGCTCCCGTCTGAATCCTGACACTGTAGATGCTATTTTATTCCTGCATTGTGCCAAGAAAAAAAATCAAACTAGACCTAAGGTCAGGCATATTAAACCAATTAGCCTATGTTATTTAGGCTACACATATGTTCAATATAAACTTTTGAGTTCGGTCAGCTGATAATTTTACGTTCATATTGGTTTAGCCTATTTTATTTTAGACATGTTGGCCTCGCTTTTACGTTCCGAGGCTAAGGTTATTTTGCCAGAATTTCTTTGTCGCAACTGGCGTAGTTTTCCGTTATGCTTCAAGTTTGAGGGGAATGGGGATAATCCTAAATCCATGGGTTATTGGGGCACTTGTCATACATGCACTTAGCCTGGTCAGACTTTATGTTCGCTCAAAGAGGGATGGCATATCTATTTTTCTAATTTAATTTCTAATTGTGGGGGTGACTGAGCCTACAAGGCTTAGGCACGATATGACGTTTTAGCCTATGCCTACATTAAGATATTTATGTTAATATTTTTTTACTGCCTGTTGTTTCTTTTGGCATATAAAATAGGTATTGTCTGATAGAGATATAAATAAAGGTTCATCTTGTCGCAGAACTGGTGTTGTTTCTGATTTCTACAAGCTCAATAACATCCACAGCAAAAATTAAAAAATAAATAAATAAAATAGTCGAAAAACTGTGCCCATTAATTAGATGTGGAAGGCAATCAGGTACGTTTTTGGGGTTGCTATGGACAACTACAAATGTAAACATTATTAGGCTATAATGTAAATGACTTATTATTCTATCTATTTACTAAAAAATAAAGTGAAATAGGCATTTAGTAGTAGACTAAATAGCAGCATGTTGAAATGATGTGTCAATGCGTTTTCTATTAGGCTACAATAAAAAAAGTTGTATAGTACAATGCGTTTAATTTAGGCTATTTATTTACTTTTGTCCATGTGCGACGATTGGAGACGGAGTTCACTGCTGATATTCTGAGAGCTCGGGTGCTTCTCATTTCTTATTTGTGCATCCTCGTTTCCTTTCCTTGCTTTCTTTCCTCGTGTTTCCACCCCAACGGGATACGAGGGAAGGACGCAAGGAAAAGACTCAAGGACCGAGGAATCGAATCAAGTGAAAAGACACGTCCTCGTATCTTTAGCGTCACTTCAAAGCGTCGTCAATTAATGACTTGCACGTTTGGATTAACTGCATGTCTACATTAAAGTCATTCTCTATTCTATAATGATCAATAAAGAAACATTCATTTAATAATAAAAAGGAATAAGCCATTCAAATAAAGAGCCCAATCAGCAGATGGCGGGCGGGTGCGGTTTTAAAAATTGGTCAAAAATGTTACTGCGGATGGATGGCGGACGGATGATGAATTTTGTCATGCGGTTGCGGATGAAATAATAGCCCATCCGCGCATCTCTAACGCGAATGCCAGTGTCATGTGGACAAATAATATTAAACTCTTGTGGATTGACGATGTGGAAGAGGTCATAGATTACTTACCCACTCTTTGCGACGGCTATGCGTAGTGAAGTCGTAAACAGGCACTTTAATGCTTTTGCCCTTTTTCAGTTTTCTCAACACAGTCACCAGCAGCTCAAAATCAAAGGCATCAGGATGATCGAAGTTGTACTCATTTTTGGCAGCCAGCTCTTGAGCATCTTTGCTTAAAACCTGCAAGAAAAGAAAGTTAAATGGATAAATACCCCATCACAGAAGATTACTAGTTGAAGGTGGGCACCCGATCCCGCCAGGTCATATCCCGCTCCTGCTGTATATTGAGCTTTTGTTCACCTGCTGCCCGACCCGACCGTTCCTGCTAAATTTAGATCTGGTTTCCAAAATCTTAGATTAATATTGGGTACTATCAAAAGAGAAAGATAAACAGATAAAAATGTTGTGCAAGGATTGTAGGCTGTCAGTGTTGTTTGCCCCTTTGTGATAAAACACGAGTGCCGCGTGATGTGTGGTGAGGATTTAGCTGGTGAAGCGCTGACTCTTTCAAAGTCAGATTTACAAACATATCCACTCAATATATTTGCCAATCTACCAACTGTTTCATATCTCATATCAGCATTATTTCTCTACACATGGCAGGTACATAATGGGCCAAGAAAGAATGTAAAATGAACAGTTATTAAATATGCCTCCCAAAAAACACCCAGCTGGATGCTACAAAGTCCAGCCAGTCTATAACAAGCAACACACAGCACCACGGTGGATTGTATTATTTGATCATTTTATTCATTTTCTTTTCAGCTTAAGCCTAGTTTATACTTGTGTGTCAATTGATCGGAGTGACACACGGCGCATGCAATGCGCGTAGCTGTGCATTTATACTTCTGCGTGCCGTTTCTGTTGCTCTGCAATAACACTTGCAAAACGCTAGCTGGCAGTAAGTGTTTGTTCTTTTGTGTTGAGTTTCTTCACTGGTGTTTTGTTTTTTTCTGATCGCTTCCTTAATGTACAAGTGGCTCAAACTCGCTCATTTTGAGGCTGGAATCAGCAGACATGCAACAACTTTAATCATAAGGTAAACACAAAACTGTCTCCATCCAGAGCTCCTTCACGGGACTCCACACGTTAACACTCGCTGCATCAGGTTCACGCGGCTCCCACCTCCACCCACACTCGTCAGAGCTACCAAGCCGACTAATCACAGAGCTTGCGCTATGCATCGTTGTGAGGTGTAGTTACATTTTTTGAAAGGTGCGCATCAACGTCGCTGATGGCCACGGATATGCATCCACGCGTAGGCTGCACCGTAGCATACACATGCGCTTGTCGCAGAAGTGTTAATGAGCCTTTAGTCCCTTTATTAATCTGGGGTCGCCACAGCAGATTGAATGGCCAACTTATCTAGCATATGTTTTATGCAGCGAATAACCAGCCTAGACCAATCTCTGGAAAACATCCATACACTCATTCACACTCATAAACTACGGACAATTTAGCTTACCCAATTCACCTGTAACCCATGTCTTTGGACTTGTGGGGGAAACCGGAGCAGCCGGAAGAACCCATGCAAACTCCACACAGAAATCCAGTTATTTTATAATTTATTTTAATGATTATAAAGATTTTTTTAACAATTCCAAGACTTTTTTTAAAATCAAACTTTAATGCATCACTAGCTTTTGTTCATATCTCAGTTTTATCTATAAAAGTTTATATTTTTATTATGACAGAAATAATAACAAAAAAGTACACTTACTAAAAAATACAGACATTTTTGTTTTAGATTTAGCCCACTCCACAATTGACAGTTACAGTTACAGTTGACACAATTACTGTCTGGCTAGTTTCTGTCCTCTACTTTTGCTAAAAAGGCAATAATGGTCCAACATTCCGGACCATTATCAACAATAAAGCCTAAAAACAGGGCATCAGTATATTGTAAACCAATAGGTTCAAATATTGCTTCCAGTTATCAAAGGAAAAATTTGTTCTTTAATTATAGTTTTGTAACTATTAAATTCATAATTGTAAAGTATAGTTACATCAGGACTATAAATGGCAAAAAAATAAATAAATAAAAACTTTGATTGTGCATTAAAACCACACGAATCTCCACTTTTGCCAAGGCCTCTCTTTTTGGTTTTAACAAATTTATCCCTCAAGTTTTTCTAAACATTTTAACAAAAATTGCCCTCCTTTCCCACTGCGGTTGTAATTTCTAGCCAAGAATTATTGGCCATCTGATTATCCCTATGATCACACATGGTTATATCTGTAGAGGCGTAGCTGTTTCAGGCAAAATTTTTCAAAGTGTTTTATATTCAACTCAAATCAAACGCGGCGCAGTGCAAACTGTTGTCTCGAGTCTCAAAAAAAAAAAAAAAGCTCCACCAGCCAAAATCATGTCGCGGGAACCCAAAGCGAACCTCGACAAACTCCACAATGACATTAGTCACCGCACACACTGAAGCCTGGTGTATACTCGACGTGTTCGCTTGAGCCACTGACATACATTTTACTAAATCACCAAGTACAACAGTTTCAGCTAAAATGCTCAGCTGAAAAAAAAAAAGAAAAAAAAAAGGAGCAAAACTATTTTAAATCTTGGATGTCCTGAAGCAAGTAAATTAAGACATTTTCATTTTGGGGTGAACTACCTATCTATTTTAATAAAAGATAGCATTTTTCAAAAATAGCATTGATGATAAACAAAAACAAACTAACTAACAGAAAACCATGTAGACGTCTGACCACTGGGAGAGACAAACTGATTGACTGAACCGCTTAATTAGATCACTAATAGGCTGAAAGATATGCCATTAAAATCAAACAAAGATTTATGAGTAGACCATATAGAGTTTCAGCACATCCAGCAGGGGCAACAGCAAATGACGCTGATGCTTCAGTGGCTTTAGCACATGAGGAATTTACATTTGGAGCACTTTAATGGCACAGTGGCTTGCGAATGCATCTAGGAGCATTAGCAGCACTGATGAAACAGGCCAGGGGATCTGGAGTGAAATTTCTCAGGAATTCTAAAGCATGTGGTCTCATTTCAACTTAAGTTATCACAAATACCTTATAGAAAGAGTCCATAGAAAGCAGAACAACCCAGGGAACATCAAGAGCCTCAATGATCTTATTGGCCACGGTGGTTTTCCCAGAGGCACTTCCTCCACACAGGCCTGCAGAACACATCCAGAAGATCATCACACAACAATATTGAACTTCGCTTTTTGATCATTTCATAATTCAATGTACATAGAGAACATTTTAAAAACTAGAAAACAAGGTTTTAGAGTCTAATTTGTTGTCGTATGATATGTGATCATAATATAATTAATATAATAAATGAGCAGAATTTGTTCAACAAGTGGAAATTTATATTTGGCTTTACCACACAACCACATCACAGAAAACAGGCAACACAAACATATTTAATGTTATCACAAATATCACATTGAAAACTCAATTAACCCTAATATTACTTAAAACCCAGTATTTAAAATTGTAATGGCGGTCGGCATAAAGGACATTTCATACACATTTTTTTACTTGAGGTTGCAAATGTCTTTTTGATGACAAGAGCTGAAATGTTATATTTATGGGATGAGATCAATAATGTCATGAGCTTTATGTTTAATTCTCATTAAATACATTTCATTTAGTTGTCTTTGTGCTTTACCTGCAATTGCACTGGTAATTTTTACTAGTCGACAGCTTTTGCTTTTCCTTAATTGGCAACAGAATGTCTCGACTCACACCAAATTGTTGTAACCTCCTATATATATATATATATATATATATATATATATATATATATATATATATATATATATCCATCCTTTTACTATACATTCATTCATACATTCACTTTCTTTTTGGCTTAGTCCCTTTAATAATCAGGGGTCGCCACAGTGGAATGAACCGCCAACTTATCTATCATATGTTTTACGCAGCGTATGCCCTTCCAGCTTCAACCATACACTACGGACAATTTAGCCTACCCAATTCACCTGTACTGCATGTCTTTGGACTGTGGGGGAAAACCAGAGCACCCAGAGGAAACCCACGCTAACACAGGGAGATAATGCAAACTCCACACAAAAATGCCAACTGACCCAGCTGAGGCTCGAACCAGAGACCTTCTTGCTGTGAGGCGACAGCACTACCTACTGCGCCACTTCGTCACCTTTACTATACATTACTGTAGTATTTTAAATGTGCAACACAACATTTCTGCTTTTGTTTTTGCTGTCTAGTTAAGTTTGTTTCTGTTTGTCACAGCAGACAGAACTGACTTGGACTGAAATTGCTTTGATTAAAAAAATAAAATAAAAAATTCGTAGATGTAGCTAAGCTACTTGTGCCATGTAGCTTTTAGCTTAGCTTGCTACATTTTCCAGAGGGCAGCTTTAAGTGTGGTTAAGCTACATTTTAAGTAGAGTTACTAAAAGCTTAGCTCACTAAATATTCCAAGTAGCTTGCACAACACTACATAAGTATTAGATCGGATTTGTCAGTCTGATCTATGATATATAACTTCAAACTCCATGGATGCGTTTTTAGAAACATCCAAAGATTTTGTTATTTAAAAAATGAAATATTTAATGCAGAAATTAGCAAATAAGTTATTATTATTATTATTATTATTACATATTTTGTGAATTAATAAATATCAATCAAGATTCAAAAATGTACAAGGTGTTTATTATGTTGGCCTTTATTTTATTATTATTATTTTATTATTTTAGAGTTCAATAGCAAAACATACTATTATATTTATATTAATACATTATATGATCCAAACTTTTATCGTTCACAACCAACTATTAATAAAAAGGTATTATTTTAATTCAAAAGCTGCAAAATCTCCCAAAATATACAAAATTATAAAGTCATCGGGCTAATATAAAGTTTAAACCTCAAATTATGTTTATAAATTTAACATTAATTACCAGGATCTATTTAACCTTAGAATTAATAAAGAAGTCCTAAAAATAAAACAGGAATTGCACAACTTGTGGCTTTCACAATACACAAAATTCAGTCATGCAAGACATTCTGCTGACAACAGCATTTTCAGATGCTAAAGTTTTAAGCATTCACATAACAAAAGGCCATAAAGCAATAAAAAAACTTCATGAAATGAGATACAGTACACCACCAGTGGGAATAACAAAAAGTATCTTGTTGTTTTATCAACTAAAGTTACTTAAAAGTGCTTCAGTCTTCTCCATCCTCTCCCTCGCCTGACCTTTGTTAAGGGAAGATCATTTCACTTGGGTGAATTTATTAGTTTCTCTCTGACCGAGCGAGCAGAAACGACAGCCACACCAGACTTTCTTTTTTTTTTCAGGAATAATTGACTGAAGCACATCCGAGTGTGAAATTGTAACCCATACGACAGGCTCTTTGTGAGTAATGGATTGCATACTAATGACCTCAGAGCTCAGTCCTGAGAGATCATGCTCACAGGCCAGATTCACACTCCGAATGTCTTCAGTGAAAGTTTCACAAAATAGTTTAATTTTGCTTTTACAGACTGACGTATATAGACTATCATTGTAAATTATGGTCTCGTTATATTATTAGTTTTTTTTTTTTTGTCAATTTTTCAGTAATTTGTTATTTAACATTACAACATGACTTACAAAAAATAAAATGAATCACAAGGGTCCATTTAACCATGAAAAATTTTTATTTTTTATTTTATTTTTTTAAGTAAAATAAAATTTGCAAAACTGTTTGTTCTGCATGCACAAACCTTACTATCACATTAGAATTTGAATAAAGATTTTGTTCGGAATGTTTTTCGAGAAATTTTAAGATGTGATATTAAAGGAGCATGCAGAACAAACATTTTTGCTTAATGATTATAATTTTTGCAAGCCTGTTAGATTAAGTGTATTTAAAGGAATAGTTCACTCAAAAATGAAATTTCTGCAATCCTTTAGGCTGCATTTACACTGCAAATCTTGATGGTCAATTCCAATTTTGGAATTGGCTGCATCTAATTTTTTTTTTTGCTTTTCTCCATTCCTGTATTTAATCTGTTTGCAGGGTTTAATTAGTTTCATTATTCTTTTTGAAAAGTTGTTTTACCATAGTTTGAACAGAACATTTCTTCTTTTAATCTAGGCCTTTTTTAAACCAGGAGGCCTCCCAATGTCATTTGCATGTTGTGATTTATGCACGTGATGTAAGCAACAGTTTTAGTTTAGCCTATATTGTTTACATCAGGGCTATTCTATTAGTTTGTCATGTGGGCCGGTTTATGAAAAGCATCCCAAACGAAGGGCCGGAGAAATATGACATCCTATACAGTTGATGACACATCTACATAACTGCAAGAGCCCATATGCTGTATTTTTGCTCCTTAAGACACCCACGTTGCAACAGAAATGTGGCTTAGAGAAGCCTTTACGATTAATTAACTGTAATAAATTAAAGCGCAGTTAATAGTGAAATCGGCTAATCGTTGCATCCCTATTGACGATATCAATGCATTGTACAAAAAGCCTTTTCTACAAACATATCTAAATGTTTTCGGCTGCCGCACCACTCACTTATGGCGACTCACACTCTGTGCAGCCTTCAACTGCAGCTTGTGCTGTATTGAACAGACGCACGTCACTTCATAACTATAGCGGCCACTTTTTGAGTGAACTAAATTTATTTTTGATGTCTTGGTCACACTGTTTGGAGGGACGAACAAATTGCCTCGGAGGCCAGGTTCGGTCCGCGGGCCGCTAATTGAATAGCCCTGGATTACGTGGTCGACTTTGCGCTCTCTCTCTCTCATTAACATACTTAAATACTTGTGCTACATGACAATATAAAAGTTTTTTTTTTGTCCTAGTTTATTAGATTTAAGGATCTGTTGACATCTGTTCTGAAATGAACGAGTCAGAGTTGGACATCATTCACTGTGGTTTTTAGATATCGGATAAATTTCCACATATGAAGACGGCCTGAATCTGATTTGAGTAAATCGGAATATATGTGTCCCAATTTCAACAAATTTGAAATTGGGTCACTTGAACCATGCAGTGTACAATGAACAACTCAACCTTACTAACTCTTTACTTCTTTATTTTATTTTCTTTCTTCTGTTGAACAGTAAAAAAGATATTTTAAAAAAACCGCTGATTGCTAGGACCTATTGACTTCCATAGTACACAAAAACAAAAAGAAAAAAACTTACTATGAAATTCTATAGGTCCAAGCAGGCAGCATTTCTCAAAATACCTTCTTTACTGTAATTCAAATAATACCTTTTAATGAATAGTTGTTTGTGACAGATAATAGTTTGGAATGGAAGTTTTAACAGGAGAAAGAAACGCATAAATGTTTGAAAGCACATGCGAAAGTATAAATTAGCTCATTTTCATTTTTGGGTGAACCATCCCTTTACATCTCATATTTAAATGATAAAAGCTAGACTAAAACAATTCAGGTGACTCAAACTTGCTGTTAAAATAATTTGAAATTGAATTAACCATCACACCTATGACAAAGGCTTCTTTAAAGGTTGTTCCAGTAACATTGTACCAGGGCGGACGTCCTGCAGTGTAGATGGTCCTCTTATTAGTCCTCAGAAGTGGAGGCTCCGTTTTGCTTTGGCTGGTGGTCCGTTTTCGAGGGGAAATTGAAGGGGTGAGGGGACATCGGTTTCTCAAAAGGCCATCAAGGGAATCCTCACCACTGCCACAAAATAAAGACAAATTTTTTAAAATTATATACACATAAAAAAACAGACATTCGTACAATAAGTTAACACATCATTTTTCTGTCATATGGATTCACTTAAAGGGTTTATGAACTGAAACATAAAAATTTTCTTGATTATTAGACGTATAAAAGGTCTATTATAAAAGATGTATTATAAACGCCCTGTAAGTTTCAAACCTCAAATCGAATTCATCTGAAACCGAAATTTAGCTTTAATTAAAGCTAATCTGCCAAAAACAATAGGTTGTGTATCTTTATTAAAGCAATAATTTGGCTAAACCCCGCCTCCACAGATGATGATCAACACCTGCTTCTAAATCATTATCTGTTTAGCCCCGCCTACTGATTTAAGGCACAGTCACATTGCACTTTTCGCCCCTTTTTAGCATATTCATCAAGAACTGGAACAGTTTAGACATATTATTCACGATCTAGTAGCCTAAAGACTGATGTTTCAACTCCCAGAATTTGTGTTTATTTGTGGATATTTATTTCCCTTTTATTACCCTCTCATTTTCCCCTTATTTCTCATGCGTTTGTTTTAATTCATAATCATAATTCATAATTTCATTCATAATCCCATTATTGTTTAAAAATGAACTATAAAGACTGTATTCAGTTTTATTTCTATTGTAAATCTTTTGTTATTGCAATAAATAAATGATCATGCCATGTGATCAGTCATTATGACTGCAGCAAGTTTGAGCCCCGAAGTGTCCCACTTGACAGCTCCGTTTTCAACTCCGCCCCGCCTGTGCTCGGTTAATCTCGTGGATTCCCAACTGCAGCTGTGCTTTGTCGAACGCACCTAATATTTTACTTTTATTTTTTGCTCTGTTGTATTTATATTTGCTTGTAATGTATTATTTTTTATGCAGATGCACTGCACAGAAAAAGACTTGATCATGCCAGTCCATCTAAATAAATAAAATCTTTCCAAATAGAGCAATTTAAATTATTTGTTGAAATTATATTTAAAAAATAAAATAAATAAAATAAAAATAAGAGAAAAAAAAAAAACTGAAGAAAAAAAATTGCAGCAAAACAAAATACCGCAATACATTAGATTTTTCCAATATCCTGCAGCCCTAATATGTACTATAACATGAATGGAACATTCTAAAAGTAACTCGTATAAACACTTTAATCGTATTATTGAGATTCAGATTAAGGTAAACAAAAAAAAAATATCACTGATGTCCATGTAAACCCAGTGAATCAATTATTAATCCAGATACAGAAGAAAAAAAAAAAGTGTCCAAGCACACTGCCATCAGATATGCCTTTAAAAATCATGCACATCTCCGTCTGACCTGAGCATAAGCTATAAGCACTGTGTCATGGAGAGCTTGAGGGAATCGGTTCTTTACAACACCCTCAGAAAGAGCTGCTCACATGATCAATTCTGTTGGTGTGGTAGAGGGAATTGACTTTCTTCATGTCCAGTCCAGGAAACCACACATCAGCTCAGGCAAACCTGGAGACTCATTTGAGTAAGGCTCTCATCACATGAACAGAGGCTGGACACTGACTGATGTTAATGGACTTTCAGTGTGAAGTACAGTTCATTACACAATGGTTGTGCTGAAAGGCTCAGGAGGATGTTTGCTTTGACTCAGACACTAGGATTAAAGGAAACCCTGCAGTCATTGGTGTGACAGGTGGTGTACGCATTTTTCGCTGATTCTTTGAACGTTTTGGAAGGAGTGTAAAGAATATGTCAGACTGCAATGGGTGTATAATGCAATACAATAAATACAAAATTACTAAATTCATCTCACTGTGCTGTAGTTTGGTTTAACAAACAAGAGTTTAGATGCCAAACCTAAGTGCCGTCTCAAAAAGGAGCATTATTCTCTGACCCCTTTATGTTATTTTACTTTGAAGACCATGAAAAGAAGTTATTCTTTGGCATGAAAGTAAAATGACTAAACATACTCACATGAGCCTGATAAAATTATCATTTAAGAAGAAAATTTCAGATGACATTTAGAGGTTTTTGCATCTGAACTCTTCATATGATCTTTATTGTATTCATTAAATAATTTCTTATTTTGATTAAAAAAAGGCATTAGAGTTCATCTCTCTTTCATAAACAGCAGATTCAAGGACCAAAGCACCACTAATATCAAATCAAGCACTTCTCTCTATTTTGGACTGCCTAAGTCTCAGATTGCTCACCTACAGTTACCAGTGACACAAAGAATCACATTTAAAATCCTTCTCTTTGTGTTTAAAGCCCTACATTGTCTGGGCCCTCAATATTTATCCCAACTGATTGTCATTTACACTCTATCCAGACACTTGCTTTCCGCAGATCAGTTTTTATTAAAAGTTCCAAAGGCCCACCTCAAAAGTAGGTAAGCCTTGCCTCTGGTCACTACCATCTGAATGTTGAAGCAGAAATCGACACTGATCAATCCAGGCAACATTTCTCCAATCTTCTATTGTCCAGTTTTGGTGAGCCCGTGCGAATTGTAGACACAGTTTCCTGTTCTTAGCTGACAGGAGTGGCACCCACAGTAGTTTTTTGCTGCTGTAGCTCATCTGCCTCAAGGTTGGTTGTGTTGTGCATTCAGAGATGCTCTTAAGCATACCTCGGTTGTAACAAGTGGTTATTCGAGTTACTGTTGCCTTTCTTTCTATTTCTATTCTCCTCTGACCTTATCTTATTTTGTGCCTGCTACACATAAGATAGATGCTTATCAATCCAAGTATGCAAATGCCTCAACCTGCTCCACAACCTGTGCCCACAACTTGAGTGATTCACATGAGGAATAATTGGTTTTATCTCATAATATCTGAAACAAAGATTAAGCCATTGTTTCAGCAACAACATTGTAATCCGTGTATCCGCAACAGTCATGATGCAGGATGTGCAAAGTCAAGCAGAGGCCATAATTGAGCAGGCAATTGAGATTAATTAATTTAATATATTTAAATTAGAATAATTAAATATATAACGTAAACATGGTTTAAAAAGCAGTTTTACCATAACCATGCCAGAAATGTCATGTTTTAGCATATATTCATGAGTGCTTTGAATATCGCACTGAAAAACAAATACTGTACGGCTAACAAAGTTTCTTAAACTGCTAATTCTATGGCCATGAAGGGGGTAAGATGTAGTCTTTCACTTATTAGTGGAAATTGCGACCCACACAAAGAAATATTCATAATACTGTTGAGCTAAAAATACAGAATTGTGCTACATGCTGGCACTCAAATGAGTGACTTACTGAGCTATACGATGCTTATTTAAATTACATGAAGCTGGGAACTATTTATTATTACATTTTATGGAAATGTCTTCATTATAACTAGTGAAAATAATACATTATGGACTATTTCAAATAGGCATGGGCCGGTATAAGTTTTGGATTGTATGATAACCTCGGATAAAAATACCACGGTTTCACAGTATTGCTCTAAAACGTTATTTTAAAATAATGAAATAAAAAACAACAACTTTCTTACCCTTTTGAGCACAATATATTTTACTTTAGGAAATATTTATAATAATTTGGAACAGAAAACATGTCAGGCTCAATAAATATAAAAATGCTATTAACCTCACAAGTACTGCATTCCCAATAAAACAAAAGAGGTTCAGTTTAATTCTTCATAACATACATCCAGTGACTAGTACTTTGGCAAAGTATAAGGAGTTTGATAGTTCATGCTCATTTTGTAAAACTGAAGACGAAACCTTGGTTCACATTTTTTCAGTGTAAAAACAAAAAGCTTTTGGAATAGCTTATATCTTCATATCGGTCATTACATTGCTTCTTCCAGCCCCTTTCAACTACAAGATAATATTTGTTACTATAAAGGTAAAACCGATATACCAGAGAACTACATTATTAACTTTATTTTGTATGAGAAATATTTTATTCACAAACAAAAATTTGCAGCCTTCTTTATCTCATTTTTTATTTAAATGTATGTTTTAATTAAATCTCTTAGATTGGTTAAAAATAAGAAGGTAGATTCTTGAATTATTATAAGGCATGAGATGGTATAATATTCTGACAGTATGATAACTTTGGATAAAAATATCCCAGCTTTACAGTATTGTGATTACTGCTCTAAAATATATTCTTTTTAAATGTGTAAAAAAACAAAAGCTTTTTTCACCTTTGAAAACAATAGATTTTATTTTAATTTTAAAGATTTAAAATATTTTGAAACAGTAAACATGCCAGGCTAAATAATTCAAACAAATCATTGACTAATGCTGTCTTCATTAATTTCAGAGATTTTTTAATTTAAAACGGCATGTTTTGATATTTTTTCTGCTGAAGATACTGTTATCCTAAAAAAAACTTAAAGAAAAAAGTCTTATAGCTACCTTAGGAACAGTATAACAGAAAACGTTGGCGGTTTTACATTATCGAACCATGCCTAAATATTATCATAATTATTTTTGGAAATATCACGGATACACAAGTCCTTTACTCTTGCTGCATTTGTGTAATGTATGTCAATTCAAAAATTCCCCTTTTTTAACTGTTTCATGAGTGTTTATAAATTTATTTAACCTGATCTGCATTTACCATTGTTACTATAATAACTGTCTTTTCTGTGTAAGTTGGAATTTTGTATGTTTGTTATTGAAGTCATTTACAAAATATCCGTTTCAATAAAGAAGCAAAAAAAAAAAAAAAACATTCAATACACACTTGCAGCAGCTGTCCCTCCTCATTACTCGTTTTCGGTTTTAAGCTCCAGATCTGCCACGCCAGCAGCTCCACACACACACAAACACACCGGTTGTGCTCTTTCTATTATCTCTGTATCTTAACTGTATCTTTAACAAAAGCTAACAATACACTACAAACACTGTCTGTTGACTGCTGAACTGTTGCTACTTAATCAACACACTGACCGTCCTTTATTTGCCAACTGGATGAACATATGAGGAACTGACCACAACGGAACATAAGCTGAGCTCGACAAGCATCTGATCTGCTCACCTGTCAGATCTGGACATCGACTGTTCATCCTCTTCCCCTTCTTCTTTCTGCTGCACCTGAACATCGTTTTGGCTCGTTGTCATCGCCATATTTGTGACTGGCGCTAACGCGCGAAAACGCATGTCCGGAAGTACGCTTGCGTCACGCTAGTGGTGGCACGTAGTAAAAACGCATATACGCTAGATAACGCATACGAACCCTGAGCATGCGTCAATACCGCCGCCACATTTGTACAGTGCTCGCAGGACAAATATCATTCAACAGCACTAGTGAAGACACCCAATGTGAAGATGCTGGACTTTAGCGCTGAGCAAGGGTATAGTAATGAGCAAATAAAGAAAACAAAGCATAAAGGCAGAACATTTCATTGATCACATTTAGTTTTTAACGTTTTTATATGTTACAAACTTTTGTCCAAAACAAGTAACGTTATTGATGATTATACAGTCCCTTAATGCATTCAACATAAGACAAAGCACCAACTTGCACTAAATGCTAGGCTTGTGCTAGTTTTGTGGAGTGAAATAAGCAAACAATTTAAATGAAATATGACAACAAGATGCTGTGTGGTGCCAGAAACTTGTATTATTGTCAGCTAAGTCATTCATAATGGAGGTTTCTTCACAAACAAATCGCTCCCTTCATTGGAATGATAAGTGAAAGCAGGAGAGGGAGGGTGTTTCAGGACACAGATTAGATCAAATTTAACAGGGAGGTAGGATAATACATTTCCATGAAAGAACTATCGATGTAGAAAAGTGATGCAAAATTCTCAATATCATAAATGAAATATATATATATATATATATATATATATATATATATATATATATATATATATATATATATATATATATTTGCATGCTGACCACAGGGAAAACTCCCAATCATAATATATATCTATATCTATGGCTCCGGATGGCCAGTCCTCCACTGCACCTTGGTCTCACATTATTTTTAAAGGAGTGCTACCCTGTAAAACGGCGGCTCTATTGACGCATTCCTTCCAATAGACATTAACAGGGTAGGCGACATCTAATTAATGTATACATTTATGGTAAAGACGCTTAAGGTTGTGCTTGGTTTTCATCATGGATATACACTAGATATTCCATACGTCGATAGCGCCGCCACATTTGTCTAGTGCTGCCAGGACAAATGTTGTTCAACTGCTCTAGCCAAGATTAATGCCAATGTGAAGATGCTGGACTTTAGCGCTGTGTACATATCTGAGCAAACTTTAAAACAAAACAAAGCACAAAGAAATATCATTTAATAGTAAGATTTCGTTTTTTTTAATGTTTTTGTATGTTACAATCGTTTGTTCTAAACAAGTATTGATGAGTTACTGCACTGGCCATAAGGCAAAGTAGCACCAGTTCACACTACATAGTCTTATGCTATTTTTCTTGAATAAAATCAGCAAACAATGTAAATTAAATGCTAGAAACTTGTATTAGGCCTAATGTTGGTTAAGTGAACGAGTCGTTCATAACAGAGATTCATTCACAAATGTATCACTTCCTCCATTATAATTAGACAGAGGATGTGTTTAGATCAAATTTGACAGAGAGGGAGGATAATACATTTCTATGCACACAAACACACAATCTTTGTCAGGAATGCCTGTGCAATCACTCATCCATCGATGTAGAAAAGTGATGTATAATTATAATTTTTGTAATTAAAAAACAATATTTGCATTCTGACCACCGGAAAACTCCAGCTCATAGATGAATGTGTATATCTGTATATATCTTTGGCTCTAAATGGCCAGTCCTCTACTGCACCTTGGTCCCACATTCTTTTCAAAAAAGCGTTACCCTGTACTAAAATGGCGGCTCTATTGACGCATTCCTTCCAATAGACAACAATAGCGTAGGCCACATCAAATGTAAATATCTATGGGTTTTCATTAGATTATTTTTACTTTATATAAGATGCAATATTTCATGATCAAGTCTAATCTTCGTGTTTAATTTATATAATCAAAAGAAAAAAAATCAGGCATGTAAATGCTTAAGCAAAATAAACAGTACAACTATATTAATCTTACTAAATTATTTCGTTGGATAGTTGAAAGATATGTGTTCAGTTACTTTGCGTTAGTTGCGTCATGACGCTCTTTCTAAATTTTTGTATACAAAACAATTTGATTAGCATGTAGGTAATCCTTGCGAAAACATTTTCATTGAAAATAGGCTATTAATGTTTTAAAACAATTTATTCTGCTAAACATGTTTTGGAAAGATTCAAACCTAATATTTCAAATGTGGGAATTTTGTAGTCACGAAAAATAAACCATTTTGCATCTTTTATTTTCATTTTATTTACTCAAGAATGTTTTGGATAGATTTTATTAATTGTTTATTAATAAAATAATGGATAGAAAATTTGTTTATGTGATGTAGGCTATGTTCTATTCTGATAATGAGAACTTGAATTGTAAAGGACACAATAATTTTAGTTTCTTTGTTATTAGGAAAATACATGAGATAAGGTGGGGTCAATGTAAACCAAACTTTTCTAATTTTTTGAATGACTTCAAATTATATGTAAATCTTTTAGAACAATCATAAAACAAAAGCCCTGAAAACATTAAATTTCATGTAAATGTATATTTTTATATTTTTCTCTTTCAGAAAACTATGTAAAATGTAATACCTCTTGTTCTGGTGGCATTGATTTAATAAAACATATAGACAGACGTGCACTCTTTGCACTGCAGCCAAGTTGCGCAGGACATTAGTTCCAACAAGGCAGACCCACTCATTTCCAAAAGACGCAGCAGACTTCATTCACGTAAAACCAAGCCTATTATTACAGCGAAGGCGTTTCTCATAATTATTAATTATGTCACGGTGACGTTGCGAGGGAGCTGTTCAATGGCGAGTGAGTAGTTAATATTAATGATGGCGTTCTATTTTTAAGGAACGACCTTAAGCTCATTAATATTAATCATCAAGCCTTTGCCATAGTAAGATTCATAAATGAGTTCAGTGGACTGCCGAATCTTCTGCACCACATCCATCTGAGCTCACCCACAGCCAAGTTCTCCGGCTCCGCATACAGACAGCATCGGAATAACTGACTGACCGCAATCCTGCCATTTTCTTTAGCTTTGTGGATTTGATGCAATGAGTGAATTAACTCATTTGTTGAACCCTTCGAAAATGGCTTGGAGGAATTATTATTTTGCCGTCTAATTAAACACGCATATTTTAATATTCGGTAAGGTTTTCATTAATTGTGCTTTTTATTTACCTGAAGCAGCAGCACAGGACTATGGATCCTCCACCGAGTTCGGAGAAATCGCATCTTATCAATGAAAGAAATGCCAAAATATACTCCTTAAAACTTAACAGGTAGGCTAAATTAACATATTTTATCAATTTCATATATTTATAACAGTAATATTAATACTTATTATTATTGCTCTTGATGTTTTTAATATTGTTATTATTATGATTATTAAATGTTGCGTTCTAGAGAGGCTGATTTCAAAATGCATTGTCTAGAAATCTGTGCACAATCTATGAAGAAAAACTGGTTAGTCTGTATGGTGTCTGTTTTTTTGATGAACAAAAAACAATCATAAAATGGCTGTTTTAAGATCAGAAATTGTTTGATATTTTTCCTTTACACAAATGACAGCAAAGAGATGGATTTGCACATTATGCCAATATTTCAAAAACCATATGCGCCAATAGTTACACTAGTAAAGCCATACCTTCAGCTTTATTTTGTAAACGCTCGTGTCTTTTAAGCATCATTAATATGCTTATAATTGTAATTAAGATATACATTTTTATGCTTGAGTTCATTTTGGACTGTAGCTTTTTTGAGCAATGTCCACAGGGAACTTGAGCAGAATGAACGCAATGAATAGGCTATATGGTGGTCCCATATGGAAACTGCGCACGAATTAGCCTAACTTTTCATCATGATTCTCCAAAAAAAAAAAAAAATCAATAATAATAATAATAATAAAAAAATCAGATGCATAAAATCTGCATATCCTTCTTTCAATAATCGGCCCACACTAGCCTATAATAAAGTAGCCTAAAATCAAGCATGGAAACAGAAAGTTTCAGCACCATGGACAGATGCAGGCTACCTGAATCCAAATACAAAAAAAGAAGAAAAAAAAAAAGAAAAAACAAACAAACAAATGTGTAATAGCCTACTAATGATAGATCTTAACACATACAAAAACCTCAATTAAAATATAAAAATAATGCACCTTTAACAACGACTTACACATATCTTCCTGCATGCTAGAAGATTTTTGTGAGGCGAAGAAATACTTTAGACGTTATTTTTAATCATCGTTATAGGATAAAATACAGGTTTACACAGATGCGTAATGTAAACTCATCAGATTTATCACGAACGTATGATAATTGCGCGAATGGTAATCTACACAATGTAGGCGTTTTACAGAATGAAAAAAAAAGATATTTCTAAATCTACTGTCCTTTACAATGGAATGTTTCAAATAGAATTAAAATAGGCTTGTGGCAACATCATTTTTACACATAATTTTTTTAGCAGACGTAGGCTAGCTTATATTTCGGTGAATTTGAGGATAAAGAAACAAAACTGATTTAGAATATTAAAATTGAGTAGTAAAACATTTAGAAAACTCAACTGTCTATGCGACAAAGTAATAAAACATCTAAGCAGGAGACTCAGTGTGCTGTGAATTATAATGAACACCCTGCTGTAGCTACTGTAAGAGCTAAATGGGATGTGGTCTTGGGAAATAAGAAGAGCTCATAAAAAACAATACACGAATTTAGGTGGATGTTTGAAAATAACATTCTTTAAAGTTCTTTAAAGTGATTCATTTATTTTTAATGTTCTTTTTACACTATAAAATATTATAAAATAACATTAAAATAGGCTTGTGGCAACATCATTTTCACACATTCATTTTTACGCAGAGCTTTAAAAAGTAGGCTAGATTATATTTCGGTGAAATTGAGGATACAGAAACAAAACTTAAAACATCCAATTTGAGTGATTGAACATTTAAAAAACTCAACTGTCTATGCGTCAAAGTAATAAAACACCTAAGCAGGAGTAAACGACGTGTGCAGTGAATTGCAATGA